TCTAGAATTTACCAAAAAGTTATGTCAACGGATGGTCTTTCTTACTTTCTTAAAAATATTATACTCAAAACTTGTTAAAATGAAACAAATCATTTTCAACAAAACTTTTTTTTCAAAACATAAGCTAACAGGTAATAAACATAAAATAGTTAAATATGTTTATCGCTTTCATAAATATTTCTTGTATATAAATTTCCCCATTTTCTTTTCTGTACAAACGAGGGGAATTGCGAAAGACAGATTAACAATCTTTTAAAGCATTGTGGCGATAGACGAATATTTTTTAGATTTTGAGTTTGGTATGTAAAAAAGAGGACTTTTTCAATACGTCAGAGTAAAGAGGACAGTGAGATCAAAAAGAGGACTGTCCTCTGAAATAGAGGACGGTTGGCAACCCTACTTTAACCATAGTGTGTAGATGTGCGCGCTGAAAGATGATCGCAATCGCGTAACCAATATTTAAATAAAAATTTATTGAACTTCCTTTTTTGGACTTCAAGAACCATCAAAATTTTGAAACAAAAAATGTCCAAAAATGACAAAGCATGGTTTCATCTATCCAAAAAAGTCCTATGAGTATTTCGCCACTGTAAGAAAATCTACAAAATAAAATAATTATTTTTGTAAATACTGGCTGGCGTTAATCCAGTGGAGACTGTCAACAGTGGTTTACTAATAAACAAATTTGTCTACCGGACAAAAAATGCTTAAGGTTTCAGAAAGTATACTTTCCGTCGTCGGAAGCAAAAAAAACTATTTAAAATATCTAAATGCACCTATTCGAGAACACTATAGTTTTTTAGCCGACCATACCAATAGGTATGGTAGACTATTAAGATCGGCAAATTTGTTTTTTTTAATTTCACTCGAAATGAGTTATTTGGGTCATCTCTCTCTCTCTCTCTCTCTCTCTCTCTCTCTCTCTCTCTCTCTCTCTCTCTCTCTCTCTCTCTATTTTTGTTTGTTCTCTGTTTGTCTCCATAATTCCCTGTCTTGTGCTTCATGTACAAGCGTGTGCAGTGGCTTGTGGGTGATCTTTGATAGCAGGTCTATCCATCGGGAGGGCGAGCGGCCTCTTGGTCTTCTTTCCGGAACATTTTAGGTTTTTTTATTGCTGCGATTCAGTATGTCTGGTTCTTCATTAATTATATCACTGTGGAAAGAGCAACTAGGCTGAAAATCTTTTTCTTTATACAGTGTTCCGCAGTATGTTCGCCATCGTTCCACTATTTCGTTAATTTCGGTTTTAAGTTGTCCTCGATCGTCTTCTATTGCCCATGTTTTTGGCTTGAATTCTCTTGTGAGGTACTTTATCTTTTTAAATAGGTCCCTTGGTTGATTTGTGAAAGCGTGAGATTTTATTTCCTGGCATATTTTTTCATAGTAGTTGTTCTTGTCGATGGTGCAACTGTGTTTGATCTCTGTATTTATTTTTCTATATTTATCTTTTTCATCTTGTGTTTTTATACCACTTTGCACTAATGGTCGCTTTGTTCAATTTTTAGCAATGTGCTGTCAGAAATCCAATGTTTGTTTTTTTGTCTTTTGTTTAGTTGTCGAGAAGTGGCATTACTCAGACAATTTTTAAAGTCTATCCAAATCTGTTGGGGTTGGGTGTTCTCGTTAATGTTCCACGATGTTTTCAGTAGTTCTTGTTGGAAATGTGTTACGTCGGGGATCTCCATCTGATTTGATCTTGGTTTTCTTACAACATTTTTTAACTTTATACGAATCTTTGCTGCCAGTAACTTATTTGGGCCATAAATGACCTAAATACAAAATATTTTCATGGTGTCTGTCTGTCTGTCTGTCCGTCTGTCCGTCTGTAACACGATAACTGAAAAACCGCTAAACCTAAAAATTTGTAATAACATCAAAAACAGTCAAAGTCGCAGTTTATGAAAAAATTGAAAAAATTCCTTTACTCTGAAACTAAAAGAACTGCCTACCAACTTTTTATTAACATATTTTAGTATATAAAATATACTACTATACTGGGGCGGCTATACGTGCCTCTCGGCGCAATTTTTTTTTAAACATGCAGATACGTCCTTTGGACGTCTACAAAAACCGTTGACATTCTGTTAAAACGACGTTATATCAAGTTAAACTTCAAAATTACCAATTACTACCTGATAACAATTATTTAATAAGGTAAAACCAAAAAGCGTCGAACTTTGTGCATGATTATTTTTAATTTGTTTTTAATTTTTACGTATGTTTGTTTATGTTATGTTCTTTAAAATCAAAGAAGCGATTGCCATACATTACTAACATCTAGGTACAGATGCATGAGCAATACATTTATTTTTATTAGATTGTATTAAAAAAGGATTTTTGCCTTCTTCCTCCTTCCCAATAATCTCCTGCCCTCAATTTTGCCTTCAATGACCAGTCTGAGCACCTCGTATCGTTCACCCCTCACATCATGAGGGGTGAACCAAACCAAACCAAACCAAACCGATGTACTTCCTTTCCTAGCAGCTCTTTATCTTTGCCAATCCGCCTGAGCACATCCTCAATTGTCACTCTACCCATCCAGAATATACGGCATACGACGATACAAGTACATCTCAAAGCGTTAATGCGGTGTTCCAATGTCTGATTGAGTGTTCACAGTTACTCTCAGAGCCGTAGAGAAATACTGGAAAGATGTAGTTCGAGGCTTAGATCTCGGCTGGAGAAGAGGGTTTTCATGGAAGCAAAAGTACGTCTGGCCTGTTCGATCTTCGCCAAAATTTCAGTTTTGGGATCGCAAGCGTCGTTAACGAGAGCTCCTAGATATTTTATGAACGATATTTATTCTACCACCTTGTTGTTAATTTCGAGGACACTCTTTCCCGGTGTTTTAGGAAATAAAACAAGTTTAGTTTATGGGATTCATGGGATGGTTTAGTAACTAATAATGTTTAACTTATTATATAATAATAAGTTAAACATTATTAGTTAATAATGTGTAAGAATAATAATATAGAACTTTCGCAACGCCAATATAGTGAATATAGGTATTTAAAAACAAAGAAAGTGCATCAGATTGCGGAAACTACCAACCTCGTTATCAAATACCAAGGAATTTCACTACTGGCTATCGGAGGAAAAGCTGTTGCAAAAAAAATCCTCCTAGAATCACAAACGGGCTTTGGCACCAACCGTTGTACCGTTGCTTCTATATTCTCCGTCACCCATTTACAGAAAAAAATGTATGTCGCGTTTATCGACCTAACAAAAGCCTTCGACTCTATAAACAGAGATGCACTTTAATAAAAAGACTCAGGGCAAAAACATGTACAAAATTCATTACAGAATTTCAATACTCAGCAATATGTTACAGCAATTACTAGAAATGCTGAACACATAGGTATACATGGGCATACGATATACGAGGCTATGGGCCTTAAGTTGAACATCGATAAAACTAAAATTGTGTGCACTCCTAAGCTATAAAAATTGAAGAAGAACTATTAGAATATGTAGCGAAATTCAATTACCACGGCGCGGCGCGGCAGTTTGATTTCGGAAAAGATTGACTCTGAAATTCAGTCACTGTTCTAACAGTGAAAAACTATTTCTTTACTATATAGAGCAAAACTGACAAAGATGACATTAGCTCGATATCTGAGACACGGCTTAAACCATTTGTTAAGCCAGGCTTAAACCGTTTGCTGATATTTACAGATTGAAATTTTCGACCATGTTGAAAAGTGCTGATAACTTTTTTATTTTGCGGAATAATAACATTTTGTTAAAACATTCTTAATGCACTTTTTTAAGCACAGCCCATTGGCTTCATTAATTTTTTTCTATAATGACGCTTTTTGTCAAATAATAAAAATATTTTTTTTTTAAATGGAAATCATAGTTAGCGAATTAATTTCAAAAAATGCCTGTAAAAACGCCTATTTCTAGAATTTTTTAGGAATAGATACCCACAACGTATTTTTGAACTTACATAGCAAACTATATTTTCATTTAAAAAACGTTATATCTACCACGCTTTTTGGAAAACGTTAAAACTTTTCTCTTTATCATTTTTTTGTAAATCTTGAAACAAACGAGATAATGGACTTACTGTATTATTGACTCGCCCGGTACAGGGTGTTTTTTTGTACACATTTTCGTATGTTTTACTGGGTTTCTCGATTATGAGTAGGTAAATGCGGTTTTCATCTTTAGTTTCATAAAAAGTAGCAACTGTGAAAACCGTATTTTTTTACCCATAGAGTTAAAAATAAAAAATTTTACCAATTCTCATATGGGACAACCTGTACAAAGTACCACGAAATCACGAAATTTAATTTTATTTAAATTGTTGATGTTTTATGTGTGTGCTTTTATGTCCTTGATGCGATTTTATTGCTTTATTGTTTATTTTAGTTTTTTATATAATATTTTATTCTTATCTGTATCTACATAAATTAATATAGATAATAAAAAAATCGGTACCTAATGAAATAAGGTACCGATAATACAAGAAAATTAATATTAACATTTAAAAAATAGGTATTTAAATTGAATTCTGGTTTTCTTGACTTGAGGGAAATTATATTGATTTCAGTCATTTTACTGACTTAACTTGCAGATTATCACGATTTAAGTAAAAAAAAAGACTAGTCTAAAAAAGACTTCAGTCGAAAGAACACTTAAGTAAAAAAAAGAAAGACTTAAATAACGTTATATTGATTTAAGTCTTTACAAAAATGACTTGAAAAAATTGACATAAGTCAAAGACTTAAAACTTAAGTCATTTGAACTTTATATTGAAATTGACTTAAAACTAAAATCATTTTGATTTCAGTATTGACTTAAATCTTTTTAAAACTGACTTGTTACAGCTCTGATAACTAATATAATAAAAATATAAAGCAAAATGGTCATATATTCCTTGCCTGGCTCATTCGCCATATATTTAGAAATATAATATGATGGAATAGATGTGTTATTCTGGTTGCCGAATTCATTATTTTGGACAATTTTGAATTTAAACTTTGACAGTGACATTTGCAATGCCATAAAAAAATCATAACAAAAAGCGACCGGAGGCTTTTTATGTGATCAATTATTGCTAGTACAAATTATTCTTTTAGTAGCTCAAAGAAACTGTTAATGGTTTCATAAAACGACTAAATTATAAATATAAAATGTATTTTGACAATACAGGGGTAAGTATTATAGCTAGAAATGTATTTAGGTTAGTTGAAAGTAGGTTATTTCATACTGAAAATCTACGTGTAGAAATTTGTTTTTAGGTCAATTATGCTGTTTGTTAGTAATTAATTTATTTGAAAATTTGCAGCTAGCTGTTGTTAGCTCTCCAGATCCACCTCCAGGGTTGGTTGGCATGGATTCCGAATATATGCAGACCCAATGTGTTTTAGCCGATGGTGGAGATAGATTTGGTGTAGCATCTTTGGCTTTTGATAAACATGAGGAACTGCTATGGATGGGAAATCAAGGAGTACATAATCTCGAGTTGATTTGAAATATTAGTAATAAAATTGATAATCCTTTAGGGTCATGTCACTTCCTATTATATGGGTGGAATGTCTAAGTATACGTCATTTCAAATTCATGCTCATGAAGAAGTAAGGCAGATTTTGCCCCTAGATGAATGTTTATTGGCATTAACAGCAAGCAGTCTAAGATGTCAGATCCGAAGAGGGATACCTGTTTTTACCCATACGTAAGTTGCATTTCTTTTTATTTCAGTATGTTATAAATGTATATTTTATAGGCTTTTATAATTTCTTTAAAATATTTATCTAAATATTAATTAGATCATCATTTAAAAAAATCATTTTATTTTTCTGCATTTATCAATTCCTATTTTGACATAATATACCAATAGATAGATACCAAAAACATTTAAGTAAATAATATGAACATTAAAATTTTTATTAGTCCATCTTCAAGTTTTTTAATCATTTTAAGTTATAGTTGTGGTTATAGTACCATGTGATTGAAAAAAAAACGGCGTCAGCGATGCTATAAAATGAAGATTGCTGCCATTTTAGGTACCTATATCTAAATTTATATGGGAAATGTCATCGATCATAATTTCCCAGCCAACTGGACGCCGTTTTTTTTCGATCATACGGCATTGTATCAAATATAAAAAAACTGTTTGAATAATATTTTACAATATATTATGCATCTAATACTAAATACTAAAATGAGGGCAAAATACTAAAATGAGGACATGGAACATTCAATAATAATTGTTTTTATTAAACTAGCTGTGTGTGTATCAAGGCTTCTAGGTGAGAAAACAGTAACAAAAAGCAATAAATTATAAGTGATACAAGGGTGACACCTACACACACTAGTTTAATGTAATATTTTATATGTTTAAAAGAGGATTGGCGATATCACAGACATTCATCAAACAATAACCATATTGTACTGAATATTATGACTTAAGTGTAGATTTAAATACTTCTTTAATTTTTTTTAAGTGTGTTATTTCTCTCGATTTTATATTTCTATTATATTTAGCTATTTTTTAAAGAGAAATAATACTCCGTCCCACTCATAGAGGTCCCACTAGTCTACTCAGGCATCCAACAATGTTGCCGTTTGTTGTCCCTTAATTTCATGATTTTCAATTGTTAGCTAAACTAAAGACGTTTATTTTTGCGGTTTATTTCAAAGCTGGATTGTTATTTGGTTTATTTTGTTAGAACGATTTGCTTCTACCCGAAACTTTACAACGCGCAGTTCTGCATGCGCAGAAACGATACCTACTCGGTCGGGTATTTCGCGTGCAATCTAAACCAAAAAAAAACTTACCCCAGAGACTAACCAACGCAATTTAAAACACGTCTACCGCGTATTTTGATTGCTATTACAGACAGCTGTAAAAAAAATAAAAAAGAATCTATATTTGTGGGATTCGAACCTCGGACTCGTTGATTCCGAAGCGGCCGCCTCACCCACAGAACCACAGGCTGCTTTCGTAATTTAAATAAACTAAACATTACTTTGTTGTGCCGTTCCACCGAAGAAAACAACTGACTGCACGGGGTGGGTCAAATTGGAGGCTTTTAAAGGGAAACACCCTTTTCTATAGGAGATAGACGAAAACTTATATCGGTGTCTGGAGCCCAATTTTTATCAAAAACATGATGATGAAAACCGCACATCCATATCTGTTACCGTTTATAAGTTACGGAGTGTTTTTCAAAAATGTGCATTTTTAAAAAATCGCTGTAACTTTTTTGTTATGGAAAATTTTGTATTTTTGTGAAAACATTTCCAAAACACTTTTTTACGTAGAATTTAATGGTTTAAGTATAATTTTTTTAAAATTAATAATTTAAGAGTTATCAACAGAAAAACTGATTTTTTATTTGGGACACCCCGTATATTTTTAATTAAGTGAAAAGAACTTAAAATTATCTTTTCAAAAATATGGCATACTTGATATTTTGCTCGATTCCTCTTCGAGATATAGACTTTTTAAAAATTCGGCCACTTTGAATAAGTAGGCTTTGAACGACGCCGGCTGTAATGCAACAAAATTCTAGCTGTGAGCAGCAATTAAAACGAAAATAATATTGGCAATGAGAGATGCAGAATTTTATAACAATTTAAACTATCTTTAATAACATCAACACATTTAAACTATATCTAATAACAATAAAAATTAAAAGCAAATCAAGACATGAGATTTTGCTACAGGTGTTCGACATAACGACTGTCTTCTGTTATGGACAGACGGGGCCGTTTGTGTAAATTTTTCGTGGAATTCATTAACTCAGTGGGGGTGAAAGATACCCTCGCATAACCGCTAAGTACTTCTAATTCTTGTCTAGTTTATTCGGGCAATTTAAATATAAGAACCTTTATTCTTCCGCAAAGATAAAAATCCATAGGCATTAAGTCCGGGGGCCTCGACGGCCAACGGCTAGGATCTTGGTTCAATTATTTCAATTATTCTCGAAATTGGCTGCAAAAATTGCATTCTGAGGCAGTGCCTCGTCTTGCTAGAAAAATATGTTTTCGAGTTTCATTAGGGGAAGATCATCAATAAGGGGTCCAAAGCCTACTAGTTAAAAGTGGCGAACTTATAAAAATTCTGTATTTTGAAGGGGACTATATACAAAATATCAAGTGTGCTATATTTTTGAAAAGGTAATTTTAAGTTCTTTTCACTTAACTAAAAATATACAGGGTGTCCCAAATAAAAAATCAGGTTTTCTGTTCATAATTCTTAAATAATTAATTTAAAAAAAATATATACTTAAACCATTAAATTCTACGTAAAAAAGTGCTTTGGAAATGTTTTCACAAAAATACAAAATTTTCAGTAAAAAAGTTACAGCGATTTGTTAAAAATCAGGGTTGGAAAAAATCATGATTAAAAAAAAATCAAAAAAATCAGATTTTTTTTATTTAAATCGGATTTTTTTTATTTAAATCGGATTTTTTTAATTTAAATCAGATTTTTTTGATTTTAATTCAAAACAATATTTAAATCGGATTTCCAAATGACTAGGACTTATTTGCAATTAAAGTCCTATCCTAAATAGCTAAATCTTTATAACTCTGAGCGATACCGATAACATTAACAATTCTACGGCGCGTGCCTTTTTCCACATCGGTCACCAATCTATTCCGCAAAAAAAGTCCCTCGCTTCAGATCAAAAGGATTTTTTGTCGTCTTAAAAACGTCTCAAAAGTATTAATTTTTGTCATTTTAACGGCTAGGCATAAAAGTAAAGCACTGTTACACCTAAGCACAAAAGTACAAAAATATATTATAATCTGATGATAATAGGTGTCAAATTCAACGAGTGTACAAATTGTTTTTCGATTACTGTTTGTATTATTTATTATTTGCAATGTTTGAAATTGATTAAAAAATTATTTGTAATGTTTTAAAACAATAGTTATTTTATTCGGAGTAAAAATGTACTGTTTGTGCCTCCTTCTAACGTCGGAATAGCTTTACGATGGTCTTTCCAATGTACAGCATCGTCAAAATAGTATAACCATAGACTTAAAATAAAATATAGACTGAGCATCTCATTCATAAATAGCTGGAACATGCAGTCAGACAACGTCTTGTTATTGTTGTGTTATTGTTTTAGGTTATAACGAGTGCGACACGAGCGATAGATAGGTTGTCTCTGTCATAACGGTCGTTCCCTGACGACTCTGCCGAGAAACACAACACTGTCTTTCGTTTCTCAAGTACACCTGAACTCTCCGTATCATAGCCGGGTAACTTTTTTATTTTAATGAAGCTATAATTGAAATTAAAAATATATCGTATTTAAACTTTTTATATTTTATTAAGATTTAGGACAGGTTTTTGGAATAAAAGTTTAGAAAAAAACGTCTTAGAGTCCAAAAAGGATAAAAATAATAAAATACACGTTATAGAAGAAATTTTATTAACGAAATTACGTAATTTTTGAAATTAATCATAAATTATTAATTTTAGTCAAACATTTACAACCCCTAATATTAATCAAAACAGGATCTATTTCACAGATATAATAGAATCGGCGACAGGGGAGAGAAAAAATATGATTTTTGTAATTTTTTTTTCTGGTTAAGTGACGTCTTATTATGTAAATTAGAGAAAACATAAATCTGTTCCATTAAAGCAAGGAAGGTGATAGGAAGTGGATAATATGAAAACTACATTTATTTAACACGGTACTGTCTTTATTATACCGGGTGCGTTCCAAAAGTGGCTCATCCTCAAATTTTTTTTATATTTTCAAATAGTTATGTTATGTTAGTATATGACATAAATTAGGATTGATTGACGCATTCAATTGTTTTTGGTGACTTCCTATTTCACCGGAAATGATAACTTTTAATTTTTAAACGGCACCCTCGGTATATTTCTACTTTATTCGATAGAAAATGATAACAATTTAATTTTTAATAATAATATTGATTTCTGAATAGAATGACATAGCATAATATGTCAACTTTTGACATTTTCGCATATGGTTTAATTGTAATTGTAACACGCGGTTCATAACGACAATTTGACTCGAAATACCAAGTGTGTGGTATCAATATATTCATAAAAAAATGATTTTTCCAAATATGCTAATGAGTCTCCCTTGTTTCATTTGAAAAAATTGACATATGTATGATTAAAACTACGATTTGTACATCTTTTAACCGGCCTAAACAAGACACGAAACCCATTAGACGATCAAAAATATTTTTCCGGTGCTCCTTGATTAAAACTTAGTGTTTTTAACAACACCATGGCACCCTAGATTGAAATTTAAAATACGATTTGTTTTTAAGCGACAATGTCAAAAGTTGACATATTATAGTCATTCTAGAATAAAGTAGCAATATACCGAGGATGCCTTTAAAAATCAAAAGATGTAATCATTTCGGTGAAACAGGAAGAGACCAAAAACAATTGAATACGTCAATAAATCCTAATTTATGTCATATACCTACTAACATACAATTTTTTTTTGTATCTGAAAAAATAAAAAAGTTATAGGGGGTGCCACTTTGAGACGACCCGGTATATTAAAAAATATTGTTTCATAATGTAATATCATTTTAAAATTCTTGTATGTTATTTTAGATTCTGAAGATAATTTTAGAATAAACCGGAATATATTTTTAATAAAAACATTATTAATTATTAACAGGGTTATAATTATGATTTTGTTACAATGTAAGTAAGTAAATAATGTAATGTAAGAGAAAAAATTCAGATTTTACATTTTACTAAAATATTATCTAAATAAGCGCCTTTCTACAACAACGCCACTGACTCCCAATGGGTAAATTGAGAGTTGCCTACCGGTCAAAAGTCGTTTCAAGACTTAAATGGATTATTTAAGTCAAATTTCTTGCAAATTTGGCACTGGCGAACCATATTTTATAGTTCTTGAACAGAAAAAGTCAATAAAATAAACACTTAAGGACTACAAGCTAAGAAAATGCGTTAATACAGCCGGGGAGATAGCGGCAACAAAGCTTTACCGCACACGTGCGACACGTACTACAAGGTAATAAATGAATGAATAGGCTCCCTCGCCTCTAATCGGTGTTGTCATATTGTAAAGGACTTATTAATTAATCCTTATTAAACAGTATCCGACTTATAATTTAGTAGTATAAGGACTATTTAATACATCTATGGAATATTAAAACCTACTTTATTAAACTGTAGTATTAATATCTCAATATATGTGTATAACAAGAAAAAAAATATTGATAATATTAAAGACGTGACAACATAGGCTGGATGAGGAAGGCTCGGTCGACTGTACCCAGAAGTAAACATGTGTGCAGAAAAGGTTGTTTGTCCGCGTTGAGATGTAAATAGTGTAGTCTATATTTTATTTTAAGTCTATGAGTATAACGTATAACGTCTACTCTTAATAAAACAATACACTATCGTTCGGAAATAGTCTTAAGTTGAGAATGAAATTAGTATTCTCTAATGTCAAAGTGTAAAGTACTTACTGCAAATCAAAATATCGGTAAGAATTTGGAAACATACCAACGTTTCAAAAAAAAAAAAATAAAACAACATATTTTCTGACAACGATTATAAATTTTTGGGAATGAAGATATAGTCTCTATATCAGAAGAACCTAGTTCTGCACTAGTCTGCGAATGATACGTATTCGAACAGCGAATTTTTGTCATTTACACATAAATTTTAAAATAAATCCCTGCGTTTAGCGGTCTTATGGATTCACACGAAATTACTTCAAAAATCGGTTCAACATTTAAATTGATGAATAGATATTTTTATATAGTTTTATAATATTTAGAATTATTTTTCGATTTATTATCTGTTATAGAAATATTTTTTATAGTTTTCTAGGACTGATTTTTATAACTTTTACAGTTATTTTTTTTATTTATTATAAAGTTTCAATAAAATTAATTTTTTGATTTAAATCACATGATTAAAATTTAAAAAATCACTTGATTTAAATCATGATTTAAATCATTTGATTTAAATCATTCCAACCCTGTTAAAAATTCCTCCACACGATATTAGTTTTCGTCTATCTCCTATAGAAAAGGGTGTTTCCCTTTAAAAGAGTCCAATTTGACCCTGTACAGGGTGGTCGAAATTGCTTTGTTTTAACAGAGAAAACCTATTTCCTGACTAGATAGAGCAAAACCGACATAGATGTCATGGGTTCGATTTCTGAGAAACGTTTAATGGCGTAAACCGCCTGTTGATATTTTCACTGCCAACTGAGATACGGGGTCTTTTTGAATTTTTTACCATTTGGAAAATTGCCCATAACGTTTGTATTTCGCGGAATAATAAAATTCTGTAAAACAGTTCTTAAGGCACTTTTTTAAGGACAATCCAGTGGCGTACTCAGTTTTTTTCTATGCTTGCTCTTTTTGTCAGAAATAATAAAAAATATAATTTTTTAAATGGAAATCATAGTTGGCTATGAACTTAAAAAAATGCCGGCGGTTAACCCTTTCCAACGATATAAAGTTATGTGTATTTATTTTTAAGAATGAGAGAAATATTGGGTTTTTTATCATTGTATCGAAGCGGGCCTTGGTTTTGTGTTGATCTATTGCCTAATTATTTTTTATCACAATTTAATTTTCTATATTATTATTTATCTGCATTATTAAAAACTTTTGGAAAGGTAAATCAACATTCTATATTAGTATTACTAGTTACAATTAAAACACCAGGGTTACAACTGAACTATTAAATGGAGAATTTAGAGAGAATTGGGCTGGAACAAGGTGCCCATATCTTTGCCTGCTAGGTACTGCAATTTAACTCCTTTCGACTTTTTTATAGGGGGAATTAATAGACCTTATTATATAAGGAAAGAACCATTGGGACGAGAGAAGAATAATTGCTGAAGGCTACTAGGCAAGCTTTTGGACTTATTACAGCAGTTCGTCTAATCAATTGTTGTAACCCTGTGCTCAAAAGATGTTTATTGTGTATTCAATAAGGAAGTGCTCAGTTTGAACATCTTCGATTTTTTTTTTTTTTTTGAACTATAATCGTCACGCAAAAAATAGTTTTTTTTTGTTTTGCTCTTTGCTTATTGTGCCGATTTCAGTTGTAATTACTAATACTAATAATTACCATTACTACTAATAATAGAATGTTAATTTACCTTTTCAAAAATCTTTAATTATGCAGATAAATAATAATGGAGAATATTAAATTGTGATTAAAAATAATTATACAAATAGGTCAACACAAAATCAAAGCCCGCTTCGATGTAAAGATAAAAAACCTATTATTTCTCTCATTCTTAGAAATAGATACCTATAACTTTATACCGTTGGAAAGGCATTTTTTCAAGTTCATAGCCAACTATGGTTTCCATTTAAAAAATTACATTTTTTATTATTTCTGACAAAAAGAGCAAGCATAGAAAAAAACGAGTACGCCACTGGATGGACTGTGCTTAAAAAAGTGCCTTAAGAACGTTTTTACAGAATTTTATTATTCCGCGAAATAAAAAAGTTATGGACAATTTTCAAAATGGTAAAAAATTCAAAAAGACCCCGTATCTCTGTTAGCAGTGAAAATATCAACAGGCGGTTTACGCTATTAAATATATCTCGGAAATCGAGCCCATGTTATCTATGACGGTTTTGCTCTATCTAGTCAGGAAATAGGTTTTCTCTGTTAAAACAGACCAATTTCGACCACCCTGTACAGTGAGAGAATGTATAACAGTGACAGTTGTTCTCTGCCCTGTTAATTCAGAAGTAAATTGTTCTGTCAATTGCTGGATCTCATTATGATGTTTTAGGTCAACTAACATGAACGAAATGCAATGTTTACTGCCAATGTCTCCAACCAGAGTATTAATAGGCGGCCATAGAGACAAATTAGTTGATTTTAATCTTCAAGTTTGTAAGGAGAGCCAAGTAGTAAGTACATGTTCTGTTCGTAGTTTCATTTTTCACATACTATTACAGCACTTTTTTTAGATTAGCGTTACAGATTCATCAACTGTAATGCTTAGACCCCATTCAAGATACGTTTGCTGCGGTGGCCCTACTGGATCGGTAGAGTTAAGGGATCCAAATAATTTTAAACTAGAACATACACTTGATACGCATACTGGCAGTTTGAGCGATTTTGACGTTCAAGGCAACTTACTAGTAACCTGCGGATTCAGTAATAGGTATAACAATATACGGAAAATGCTGTATTTATAAAGTGGTGCTATATATTGCATAATTCAGATTAGGTAATCTAGCGGTAGACAGATTCTTGATGGCCTATGACTTAAGAATGTTAAGGGCGGTCTCTCCAATGCAAACTGTGATAGATCCCCTGTATCTAAGGTTTTTGCCATCGATCTCTTCACGATTGGCCGTTGTATCTGCGGCTGGGCAAGTTCAGTTGCTTGATACGATTGCCTTAGCTGAGCCAAAGATATGTTTACTGCAAGTAGAGTGCCCAGGTGAGTAAATGTTGATTAATTATTTTTTTTTGCTGAATTAAGCTTCATTCAGAACCTCGCAATTAGTGGAATAAATTAGTGGTTTCAATTAGCTTAGAAGTTTGTTCCTCTTATTTAAATGTAAGTTCAGAACATCAAAATTAGTGTTAGTCATTTTCAATTAGTAGAAAAAGTTAACAAACTTCTAACTTTTCCACTAATTATACTTCAAAATTTGCGAAGAATGTCATTTTCGTCTTTGATTATTATCCGTCCAATGCCTTCTATAAAAGATCAGCCCACGGGCGGACTTTTGTTTACTTCATCAGCTGTACATACTTAGATATTGGGTTAGATTCTGTATTCATATTTTGTCGGTTGATTTTTGGTATTATTTGTTATTATAGTGCAAAAAACTAATTATTTTGGTGTTTAAGTGACATAAACTACTACCAGATATATGGTTACTATGATGGTCACTCTGTTTCTCATAAAAAACACGAAATATTACACGTTTTGTTAAGTGCTTTAATATGCATAAATTTTTTATTTATCGTGATTTTTGTGTGTGTTTTTAAAGACTCTAACAATTCATCAATAAAGCTTAAGTGTAGCAAAGTGTTTTTGTTGCTATGCCTCATCTTTGTTGTGTTCCTGGTGGAAAGGATAGTTATACTAGGCAGCCTAAAATGTCTGGAAGAGCAAGAAAAGTGGGTACGAGTTATAAATCAAGAGAATTCTATTGAAAATATCTTTAATAAATTTAAAAATAATATTCTCCCAGGATGGTATTAAAGAAAACTGGACAATTATGTTTATTTTATTCATACTGTGGAATCTCCACTCCAAGTGTTGTTGGTTCAGCTTCGATGGATTCAAACACGCAAGATAAACACGTAAGTAGGTATTATGATCTAGGGAAAAATAAAGAATATGTCTATTAAAGATCATGAAAAAGATTATTATTTTGAGTTCAAAATTAAAAAAGATTTTTGTAAAGACAAGAATGATAAAGTTTAAAAGAAGAATGTGTTTTTATTTGATAATATAATGTATGTAAAGCATAACATATATTTGTTCAGTAATTTTTACTGAATAGTGTTGATTATTTATAATACCAAATTAATATCAAATATTTAAGTGATGGCTGAATACAATATGAATAAAATAACAATAAAATTGGTATATTTGCAATACAAAATTAAGTTTTAAGAATAAAGGTGTTACTAAAAATACTAAGAAATTCATATTTCTTTTTTAATTGGTCTAATTTATTTACATTTTACGTAAGAATTATACCGTATCATCGAAAAAAATCGGCGTCTAGTTGGCTTGGAAATGAACATCAATGACATTCCCTAAATAACTGTAAACATAAAATAATTAACTAGAATTTTACAATCTTGGAAAATTTGATATTCTTGAACCTTGTTTCTAAATATTCCAAATTTTTTGATTTTTTTGGGATTTAGGTTCGGGAAAAACGCTGATTAAGTTTTCATTTGGGTTTTCATTATTTTTATTTGGTTTAAAAAAATTGTTTCGGCTAACATTATAGCCTTCATCAGTGTTGTGTCATATGAAAAAAATAGTGTCGAATATAATCCAAAAAATTCCATATAAAATATTCACACCACACACATAATGTTTACTGCGTACTCCATAGTCAATGTAGATAATTTTAGTGTTAAGAATAATAATTTTAAAAAATATGTGGTCATCTTTTGATAAGTTTATATTAGTTTATTAATTGCAGTAAACATTATGTGGTGTGAATATTTTATATGTAATTTTTTGGATTATATTCGACACTATTTTTTTCATATGACACAACACTGATGAAGGCTATAGTTAGCCGAAACGTTTTTTTTAAACCAAATAAAAATAATGAAAACCCAAATGAGAACTTAAATCAGCGTTTTTCCCGAACCTAAAAATCCCAAGAAAATCAAAAATTTTAGAATAATTTTACATATAAAATGCCAGCGATCTTCATTTCATAGCCATCGCTGACGCCTTTTTTTAGATGATATTGTATTACTTGTAAATATAATTTTTCGAACATTGATACTTGCAAAATATACATATAAATTTTGTGAATGCAAGTAATAATACATCACTATTAGTAGATATTGAATGGTTTTTGTTAAATTAGATCGATTTTCAAATGCCAAAATTTAAAATATATTTACATTTTACCCAATATCTTATATATCATATACATTATTTGTATATAGTAAAACATTTGCAGCATTTATATGGTTCATAGTTTATTTGCCAAAGTATTTATTACTATAAATAGGTATATATGTTGTAGTTATTAACTGTATATTATGTATATTTCATGGAAACTATATAATTTTTAAAATACAAACCAAAAATCTGAGGAATAATTATGTTTTCCATGTATTCTACAACATATTTATTAATCCGTAGTATCTAACTAGCGTGACGTCATAAATCTCGTCCCAAGGCTGTTCTATTAGAGACGGCATTGATCCGTCAAGAGAAATTGTGGTTAGAAATTAAAATTTGATTGTTTTATAAGCTAAATATTAGGCTTTCTCTATGGATACAACTGACTACCGCAAGCTGTTGCATAGACAAACAAATAAAAAGAGACTGGCAAATTAAATGGCAAAGAGAGGGACAACGTTCCCGTAGCGCAGAACGCAAAATTTCGTTCTATTTATGTTGATCTGCGCATTGCGTCTATTGGGCCCACTATCTCATTCTAATATAACAAGAGAGAAAGAAGCAGTCATATAAAACGTAATTTCTATATAGAAATTAGAACAATCGCCTTTCGTTTTCGTCATCATGACAACCAAGATGACAACATCATGACAATTCGTCATGTTTGTTAATTTTTCTTTTGGTGATTTACCTTTTTTTCTAAACTCCATTTTATTGATTTAAGAATATAGATAGGGAACAAATTCGTTACTTATAATTTTAGGTTATACTACTCGTATTTGTTATTTTATTTGCTGCAGGAGCCAGTATCATCTATTTTCTATATGTATTGGTGCCCCCTTTCTGTGATAGATATGTTAAAGACACCCGGTAAAATATTTTTCAAAATATCAAAAATATTTCGAACCTCTCTTAACATGACAAATTAATAATTTTTTTCATTTTTTGGGTAGGTAGTTTATAGCTGGTTTATAGTAACCAGAAACTTTATTAATCTATCATACCTATTTTACTTTTGTTTTAGGATTAAAAGTGGACTTGAAAATGGTTCAGGATCATGATTCTCGTAAAGTCTTCTTTGCTTGGATATTCACTTTGTTATTGCAATTAGGCAGCTTTTTCGAAAATGAAATTTTTAATGCCCTATAAAAAATTGGGCGATCGTTTCCTGCAACAGTCAGTTCTTCTGCATTTAAAATTGGTAGGTGGTTGGAATAAACACTGTTATTTTTTGTTATTATATTATAAAAAGTAATTAATATAAAAATATTACGAGTATTTATTTTTATGTACAAATAAATATGTTTATAAAACAGTACAAATTTTGCTTTTTTTATAATTTCCCTTATAATAGTAGTATTCTTTCGTTCTGAAAGAAACTGCAAATTTTCACTTAAACTGATTTATTCCTTACACCACGTTCCCTTTACGTGGTATAGGGAATAAATCAGTTTAAGTGAAAATTTTCAGTTTCAGAATGAAAGAATACTACTAATAATGGCTAATTTAAATTTTCTGCCAGTCAGAATGTGCGATAATGTCTTACGATACGTTTTATACCTATCTCTTTCTCTTTCATATAAAGCACACATAATAAAGAAAGATAGCAATAAAGACGTACGTCCTGCCATGGTCCTGCTAATTTGTTTCAAAATTGTTATTCTGAGTTGCGCTACGGGAACGCGGTCCCACTATTTACCATGAGATTTGTCAGTCTCTTTTTATTTGTTTGTCTATGAACCTGTTGCTAGGATATTCTATTAATTTTAGTTGTGTTTTTTAAACATTGTGAATGATCGTAAACTTTGTCGTAAACTAATATGAAGTGTAATTGAAACCACTAATTTATTGCACTAATTGCGAGGAATGAAGCTTTAGAAGAGAGAGTTTAAGCTGAATAAAAAGAATGAAGGGTGAAAATTGTAAAGATCTATTTGGTTAACGTTGATTCTTTTCATGGTCTGTAAACTGATATTTAATCTTAATGCAGCTGAAACAACCCATTGAAATATATATATAGATATACCCATATACCGGGTGGTACATCGTCATTAGAAACGTAGGAAATCCCATGCTAATTTTGGTCTGGCCAAATATTGGCACCCCTATTAATTTTACAGCTAAGGTGTAAATATTAATAAGGCCCATGCTTATGCTAAATACACATGCCAAATTTCAAAGATTTTGGGCAAATCGATTTTAAGTAATTTAATAAAAACTGCATCTATTTTTAAATTAAAACTGAACAGGTAACAATGAAAAACCAGTGAAACGTTAACATACCTTAAAATGTAGAATGTTTAGGCATAGATAAAAGAAAATAATCTTCTATTAAGATAGATATGAAACTTAATAGTAAAATTTTGGGTCAAAGCGCCCCTCCGTGTTCTTAGTAGAGACTACGTTTAACCCAGCGCCTTCGCCTTTTCTGCCGTAAATATTTTTTATGTTTATATTTGATTTCAAAGGATTTAGTTTTAAAGTTACACTGATATATTAGTATATCAGAGTAACTTTAATAAAACATAAGAATATATATATTTTACAGTTTATTAAATATAAATTTTGACTACAAGGTAGAAAGTAGATTACAATATTTGATAAAACTTATAAGTATACCATTTTTGCAGTTAATAAATAATAAAACTTTTTCTGACTATGATATTTAAAATTTAGATAGATAGAATATTATAAAACATACCGGGTATTTGCAGACGCAGGCCCAAATTCAATAAAAACCAAAATTTTCCCTGCAAAAATCAGGCTTTTTTCACAGAAAAGGTATTTTTTGATTTATCAACAATCATTGTCAAGTTGACAATATACAGGGTGTTTTCTAATTAGTCTAAAAAAATTTGGTGTGATTCCTCATGTGTTCTTAAAACAATTTTTATATAACCATTGGGTCTAAAGTACTTCCTTTCTGATCTACAGGGTGTTAAAAATTAAAAAAAAAATAGATATTTTGCTTAACATAAATGGTACACTACTGCTTTTTTAAAGAAAATATATTTTTTTCTTGACTGGCTATCTTTTTTCAACAAAATTGATCTTTTGTGTTTTTCTTGTTCACCAAACGGTTGCCGAGAAAAAAATAAATATACTTATTAAGAGCCCGCCTTAGGCCGTTTTCTAACGATTTTTTATTTTTTAGATTAATTAGGAAACACCCTGTATATGCATATCACAGGCAACCAAATAAACTAGTAACCTCTAAAAATTATTTTTTCTACCACTAGCGACATACCGTGTTTTTAGTAAGTACTAAATTATTTTATCAAAATTTCACCATATAAGTTTCCAGGCAATGATGTTTAGGAGAGGATTGATAAAGTGTTCTGGTGTTTCCCCACTTTCCCCACAGAATCTGCATTCGCGGTTGTTTCTCAGCTTCATCCTACTGAGGTGTTTGTTGAAGAGACAGTGTCCTGTTAGAAACCCCGTGACAATCCGAAGATTGTTTTTACTCAAATCAAAGAAAGCCTTTGATTTTTCTCTGTCGTAAGTTCTGAGGAACTTTTTCGATTGTCTTAGACCGTTGGAGGGCACCCATTCCAGGTTACGGATGGAGTCTTCCAGATTCTTCAGTTCCGCTTTCAGTTGGTTTCCACTTGGAAAACAGAACGGTTCTGGTCCAGTTAGTGGAGTGTTCGCTCCTTTTCTAGCTAGTCCATTTGCTTGTTCATTGCCTTCTATCCCTTGGTGAGCAGGCACCGAGAGTAGGAGGACTTTATTTTCTTTGCCCAATTTGTTGAGCTTCTCTAGGCATTCTTTGACCAACTTCGAATTGATGGTTACTGAGTTGATCTCGTTTAGTGCTGCTTGACTATCGGATAAGATGGCGTATAATTTCCTGTTTCCGGCAGTTCCTATCTAAGATAAATTGTACTCATCTTTCGATAGCGTAAATATCTACCTGAAGGATGCTGTGGTAGGTGCCCATTGATTCGGAGTATTTAGTTTTCGGCCCAAATACTCCTATCCCTGTCCCTGCTTTGGTTTTGGAAGCATCAGTATACCACGTTATGGTATGGTCTTTTGCATGCTGAGCAAACGTTTCTTCCCTTCAATCCTTTTTATGACTCAATACTACAGTGAGGTGTTTCTCAAAGTTGTAAATTCTTGGTATGTTATCCACTGGGAGTTGGAGAAGTGGAATTTTCTTTTTGAAGGCCCCTGATCTGAAAGCCCCTATCCTGAAAATTCTCCCAGTACTGTTTCCTTCAATGACCATTCTAATCATTGTCGCATTGGCATAACTACCGACGATATTGCTGCTGTTGGATATGTTCTCATAGTACCTATGATGCAGATACATGCCAGTCTCTGTACTTCGCACAGGTTTTGCCTTGCTGCACCTTGCCCTAGTTTTGTGTACCGAGCAACTGCTCCATAGGTAATCATGGGTCTTACTATCACGGTATACATCCAGCGCAAAATGTTAGGGGCGCAGCCCCACCTATTTCCCGCCAGTCTTCTGCATATCATGAGAGTCTTTGTGGCTTTGCTGGTAATGCTCTTAATATGCTTATTCCAGAGAAGTTTACTGTCCAGAGTTATTACTAGATATTTCACTTCATGTGATGGCAGTATTTCCTTTCCATCTAGATGGATTCTTTTTAAGTTTTTCAGACATTGCTGTCTGGTGAATGACACTACCGCGGTTTTATCTGAGTTGATGCTCAGATCGACAGTCCTGCACCATCTCTCAGCGATGCGGAGTCTTCTTTGGGTAATATCACACAGGGTGCCTTCATGTTTGCCCAGTGCAATCATGACTATGTCATCTGCATACCATATGCAGTGTATTCCCACTAGAGTTAATTCTTCTAGTAGTTCATCCACTACCAAGCTCTACAGTAGGGTGGAGGTCACCCCACCTTGTGGAGTTCCTTGCGTTTTAATAACCACAGTTTTGGTACCTATCTCAACCTCTGCTGTTCGTGTTGAGAGCATTTCCCAAAACCAGCAAATTATCGTACTGTTCGCCTCTCTTATTTCCAGAGATCGCTTGACCACCTTGTGAGGTATATTGTCAAACGCCCCTTCAGAATTCTAATAAGGCACAAAGTGCTGTTTCTTTGCTATCCAGGTTTGCCTGTATTAGCTCGGTTAACTGGTACAGCAGTTTCTGTGGATCCAGCATACCTTAAGTGGTCAACATATTATGATTTTATCATTGTCAAATGTAATTTATTGTGCTGTCTACACTACTACTTTATAGTAGTGTAGTTAGGATTAGGGGACACTAAGCTTGCGCCTTGTCTGCAATTACTACTGCTTGATGTGCTGATTTAATGGTTATTTCACCGTAATTTGATTTTGTAAATTAAATTTGTAAAATAGATAACTTTAAATTTATGACTAGATGTTATTGACTAGTTACTAGTTATCGGATACCTTAGTTAGTAAACGTATCATTTATTGTAATTTATATATGGGTTAAGGCTGAGTCGCTCTCTAGCCAGACTTCGCCCATATTATTATTACTATTAATTCCTTATCATTTTCTAGGAGCCATGATTTTAACTTTCGACATGAGTAGCACCGCTCAAGCCATCGCTTTTGGAGATAGCGGTGGTCAAATTCACCTATTTTCTTCCACTGAAGAGCCCGTGTTCAACAATTTTTCTCGGCCAACCGAATTTCCAGATCCTGTAGTTCAATATCCCAGTTTTGGCATTGACGACTATAACACACCTTTGTCTTCTATACCAATGCCTTATGTTCCACCTGACGTACCTTTGGCTTCTGATTGGCCAGCTCCATTGATGCAGTATGTCTACAGGTATGTGTGGTATATTTCATTTTTTTTTGTTATCAAGATCAACAGACGATATTCTTTAATTGGGAATGTTATTGTATATTAATGGTATTAAATTTTTAAAAATTTAATACCATTTTCTGGATTTCAAATACATTGACAGAATTGAAATACTAATATCACTATTGAACATTGGTCACTTTTCAAAGCAAGTTACTCTTATTTTGAATGGTACACACAGTATACAGGGTAGTCCGAACTGTATTCCTGAAACTTCGGCAGCATATTCTGCAGCTAAAAAGAAGTAAAAAAGTTTGTATAAATGTATGTCCTAAAATGCTTAGTTTCGGTTTCGGAGAAATAAAAATGAAATTTCTACACCCTGTATCTCTGAAAGTAAGCATTTTAGGATACATTTATACGAACTTTTTTACTTATTTTTATCTGCAGAATATGCTGCCGAAGTTTCCGGAATACAATTCGGACCACCCTGTATATTATTCCAATATTAATTGAAGAATTTATATATTTTCAAATACTATTAAGGTTTGCCCTTAGACAATGATTTTCCTAGATATTTTTATTTATATCATTTTGCGTCAGTAGATCTTTATTATTTGATAAAATTTAGGTGGCTGTGAGACACCTTTCGTTCATTTAACAAAAATTAAAGGTAGTAGAGTAAAATATTCAACGGCAATAAAGAGATACACGTTTAAAACATATTTTAATTATTACAGAATTAAAATTAGATATAAACGTATAATTATGTGAAAAAATTAGCTAGATGAAATCAAATTCTCAAAATGCTTCCTTTTCTGTACACTGCATAAAATGATCCTCTTTTAAAAGATCTTTTCGTATTAAGAGGCATATGTTCTGCTTCAAAAAGTAGCCACAACCATGTTGTCGACAATATAGTTGGTCGAGTTTTTGTAAATACTGTCTTTAACATATCCCCATAAAAAAAAAGTCGACTAGATAAAACAGGAGCATTTAAGCATTCTAATAATAATTGGTGAATTCACTGCAGTAACCAATTAATATAATCATATCGTCTCTGATATAGGATAAGTTTTCATTTTCGGCCAATTTCTGAGATTCTTTTTTTGTTTAAACTGACACAAAATGTGTTGTTAAAGTTGAACTAATTTGACAGCTATGTTGAAGTATCGTCGGTCATATTACAGCCACCTAGATTTTATCAGACAATAAAGATCTACTAACACTAAATCACAAAAATGAAGATAGGATCTAGGAAAATATTTGTTTGAGGGGTAGGCAACCTTGATAGTATTTTGAAGAGACATGAATTCCCCATTGAATATCGGTATAAAATGCTGGGTGTTCCATTTAAATTAAAAGAGTAGCATACTTGTGAAACAAATGTGATCAATGTTCAATATTAATTTTGACTCTCCCTGTGTAACAAACAAACAAACAAACAAACAAACAACGCTTTATTGTGCAAAAAGCCAAAACAGCTTCATCGACAAAGCACTCACAAACAACAAAATCACAAAAAAATACAAACAACAAAAAATACACAATACAAATAATACAATTCAAAAAAATTTAAGTCTTTAAAATTACAAAAAGAATATACATGGACAATTTTAGAACAGTACGCAGTAAAGAGATATAATTTTAAAGTTATAGAATATAAATACTTGACCTTTGACCAGTGTGTGAGATGATCAAAATTTTAAAATTCAAAATTGTTCATAATTAAACATCAACAAAAATGTCGTTTACAGCATATAGGGCTCTCTCCAGTAAGCATGATTTTAGAGCTTTGCGAAATGCGGGAAAGAATGAAAGCGACTTGATATCCAAAGGCAGATGATTGTACATTTTTTTGGCATTGTACAGTATTGAACCTTTAACTAGTTCTGAGCTCGGGGTTGGCAGATAAAGATCGTGCTCTGCATTCTAAGTGGATAGTTATGAGATGGCCTTTCGGGAATAGCAGATATGTGCTTGCGGATTAAGCAAACGGATTCAAAAATGAATAAAGAAGGAAGAGTCAGTATTTTCAAATTTTTAAAGAAATTCTGGCAGTGAGTTCTACTGTTCAGTCTCAATAAATATCGAAGTGCTCTCTTTTGAAGTCTGAAAACACGATCAAATTTTGTTGCGCAGCAAGTACCCCAGAATGGAAGGGCATAACGAAGATATGACTCAAAAAGAGCATAATAGACTATTCTAGAGGTTGAGAAGTAAAGTTCCTTAGAAACTAATCTTAGCGCAAAACAGGCAGGCGCTTAGTTTCTTTGATAGAGCTTCGATGTGAAAGTCCCATTTTAACAAGTTGTCTACAACAAGTCCTAAGAACTTCACAGAGTCCACGACGTCAATAGTGATGTTATTAAGTACAAAAGGTTGTATAGTACTTTTATATGACAAAACTTTAGTTTTTGATAGGTTGAGGCATTGGAGATTAGAATCGCACCAAGACTTAATGGTGCGTAAGTTACTGGATATAGTATCATATATTGCTGCAACATCTCGGCCGCTCCAAGTGAAACTAGTATCGTCCGCAAAGAGGCAGATTTTACCGCTAATGTCTAGATTTGCAATGCCGTTGATAAACACCAGAAACAAAATAGGGCCAAGTACTGAACCCTGAGGGACACCACATTCTAAAGGCTTACAAGAAGACATAGACGTATCAATCCTCAAAAGCTGCCTTCTGTTGCCAAGATACGACTTAAGCCATTCGAGCGGCACTCTCCTGAAACCATAGTATTGCAATTTGTTAATTAAGATATTATGATTTACACAATCGGAAGCCTTAGAGAAATCACAGAAAATTGTAGCTGTAGAGTAATGGTTATTCAGGCTAGAGTATACATTATTAAAAAGGTCGAACATAGCATCATTTGTGCAACTGTTACTTAGAAATCCAAATTGATGGGTAGTAAGTATTTTATATTTAAGGAGAAAAGATAGAAACCTTTTTTTAACCAATCTTTCAATGATCTTAGATAATGTGGGCAGGAGTGCAATTGGGCGATAGTTCGAAGCTTCATCTTTATCACCTCCTTTATACAGAGGAATAATTATTGCTGTCTTAAGACAGTTTGGAAAAACTCCTTTTTGGAATGACTCGTTAATTAAAGTAGTAAGATGGTTTAATGTGCATTCAGGAAGTTCAGAGAACATTTTGAGAGTAAGCCCATCAGTCCCAGATGAGGATTTGTTTTTAATACTATTAATTGTACTACGGAGCTCATCTAATACTACGGGCGTGAGGAAGAAACTGTGTAAATTCTCATTTGCTTTAGGGAGATATGAAAGTGAATCATGGGAAGGAGTTATGGTGTTCACTAAATTTTTAGCCACATTAACAAAGTAAGTGTTTAAATCTTCAGGTAATTAAAGACTGTGCCAGACGAAGAAGTCTTATTCCTTAAGTCATTTACAATAGCCCAAGTCTCCTTAGCGACAATACCGGCTTTGGCTAGCCTCGCATTATAATAAATGTCCTTGGCAGCTTTTATAGTCTTACGATAAACCTTTCTATAAAGTTTCACGTAATTATGAAAGAAGACGCTGTCCGTGAATTTCTTAAGGTGAGATAATGAGCGCATGTTCTTTGCAGATATACGCAAGCCTGTAGGAGACCAGGGCATACCTTGTTTAATTTTGATAGGCCTAAGAGGAAACGCCTTGTACGCTAGATTTGTCAAGGTATCCATAAATCTAGAAAATTCGGAATCGACGTCAGCCGAGCGGACAGAGGTGGAGAGACAGAGACATAGGTGGTGAAAATTTAGAAAATTTTCATCCGAAAAAATACGGCCCAATTTGCGGGAGGTATTTTTGCATTTAGATTTTGGCAAAAACTTTGTCAATACTGCCTCATGATCGGAGAAACCTGAGTGAAGGACTCTACAGTCAATGAATTCCGGGTCAAATGACGACACGACATAGTCTATAGTACTAGAGCCAGTTTTAGTTATTCTAGTTGGTGAGTCAACATGCATGATTATACCAAAAGAATGAAAAATGGACTGGAGAGACTGCTTAGCTGCACACACACTGGAAAAGTCAATATTCAGGTCGCCACACAAAATTAATTTACTTTTTACAGGTAGGGATTCAAGCTAGCTTAGCAATTTTTGACTGAAAATATGTACGTCAGCGTCAGGTGTTCTGTAAATACAAATAATATAGAGGTCAAAAGCATTATGATAAACGACGGAAAATTCAAAATTTTTTTCGGATATTAGAGTATCGAACTTTCGCCGAAAAGTCGTTGTTAGTAGACATTATCATAGTACCTCCATGAGATGAGTTAGTTCTATTGAATCTAGTTAATGTAGTGTATTTTTTGACAAATACAGACTCATACATATTTAACCAATGTTCAGTTATGGCAACAATTTCTGGAAAATTGAGCTCTTCTAATAAAAGATATAATTCATCCGTTTTATGTCTTAAGGACTGAATATTAATTAAAAAAACACTAAGCTTGCTATCGTCTAGTTTTTCAGAGGGTGCTTGATCCTCTATTCGCGTCATTTCACCTAAAAATTTGTAGTTTTACTTGGAGATAAATACTTGGTATGACTTTCCCTAATTCTCTGAAGCTGCTGAAGTTTTTCCGTTGAAAAGAAGGACCTGAAGGCAGAAAGATCCGCATCCACTTCAGCTGAGTCAATACCATAAACGTTGTGGAAGCGATAATACAGCCTGCGCAGGGAATCCGCGTCACTAGGAAGTCCATCTGATGCCATAAATAATTTGATGGTGGTGTTGGTGTGCCCTTCAAAACACACACTTGAGGGTTGATCATGGAGATAGGCGAGGAATAGCCGAATAGGCTTTAATATGGAAGGGTCCCTCAGCCTAGCAAGCAAATAACGCCCATTTGCCTCATCCGAATTCTGCGTCATCCGAACCACAGGCGGAGTCAACGGGTCCATATGCAGCCCACCATCCCTCCTCGCACTCTCTTCCACAACAATTTCCACATTTTTCAGCCCAAGAGACTTACAGACAGCAATAGCCTCCTTGTCAGAACAAATCTTAGCAGATTTAACCTCCCTCGGTATATTCATGAATGTCGAGTCAGAGCAAGGTGGTAGACTTTGGATGTCAACAGTGTTTGATAAAATTTGTTTAGAGCCTGTGGACGAAGTACCTGGTGCTGGCGGTGATAACTTTAAAGGTATTGTAAAAGAATTGGCAGTGACTATTTCAGTACCTGGCGGCCACATACCTATGTCCTTCAGCTGCTCAAGGTGGCTCTTGTTCTGCACACCAATTTTGAAGTCAGAGTGTGAAATGTCCTTGTGTTTCAGCAAGGGAAAGCATCGGATAAAGTCAGTAGTTCAAAGCTTTTCCTTGACATAGTGTGCAAGCTGGTTTGCTGTATAAGGAGGTGGGATTTTGGACACTATCAGGTAATGCCAGTCTTCTTTCTGGGACAATCCATGAGGTGTGGGTGTGATGGTATTGGGACAGGTAATACCCACTGTATCCTTGTTATCTGAATGGTCAGTCTGCGTCGAAATAGATTTTTTTTCCATTTGTGGGTTTGGTTTGGTACTTTTAATGTTCTTTGGAGGAATGTTCTTGGATGTCTTTTCGCTGGAGGCCAACCTTTCCAACATGAGTGCCATTTTATTTACACTCAAACGCAAATCACCCAACTCCTTTGATAAGTCTTCCTTTGATGAGTCATGAATTTGGACCTTAATAGACTCATCATGATTGTCCAGTAAAATAGATGACAAGTTGAAAATATCTTGCTTCATGTCCCTGATGGAATGGAATAAAGATTCTTGTCTACCATCGGACAAACTGGTATGGAGGCTGTGAATGTCATGCACTTTCCGGTACAAGGACTTCCACTTGGAGTCATGGTAACTCAAAATATCGTACATCTCACTAATGACCGGAAGGAGATCATTGTTCTTCTTTAGACAGGTTCCCAGAGCTTCGACAGTGTCTAGAGAGGCTTGCGATTTTTGAACTTGAGTTACCTTGTCATGAAGATATTTTAACGTGGGTGAGTCACAGATATTGCAGAAAAATCTGATATTGTTGAACTTTTGTTGGCAGAGTATTTTTGTTGTTGTTTTATCTAACCCAGTACAGGACATACAAAAGTTCCGGCGACATTCCCCATTACAACGAAGTTTATATTTGTCCTTTTCCGAGACGACTTTCTGGCAGGAATCACACTTAAACTCAGCCATTTAGATAGTAGCAATGAACAATTTTAAATAAAAGTCAATGACAGCGGAACAGAAAAGAGATTAGGTAAATAAACCGAATATAGTAAACACACGCACAACCAAACTTAGCACGCCGCGCTGTAAGGTTCAAGTTCAATAATTATAAATAAAGCATTAACCTTTATTTATACCATTATAGTATCAATACCAAGTCGAAATTTAAAACAAACAAGAATACGCAAACTAGCACGTCGTCACGTTGTCAGGTTACTAGAGTACATCAAAACAGAGAACAACGCAAATTCAATTAAAGTTCAAATAAAACAAAACAAAACAAACACTCAATACCGGTAGCGCCAGCGAACGAAAAACTTTTTTTTAACTTTTTGCGTCAAGTTTTAACTTAATGGAAAGTACAATAAAATAATCGCAAAACAATTTCCGATGTACGTAATCAACTTTGAGTGACAAGCGATGGCGACAGCGCTGCCAGATTGTGATGAATTTATGAGATGAATCTTAATGTAAAATTGGGAAATAATATATTTATTATATCATTTTTTAAAGATTTTTACGTTTTATTTTTAATTAAATTAATTTACTAAATAATATTTTAGTAATTCATTGATTTATTAACAGTAGTCACTAACACTCACAGTAGAAATATATTTAAATTTAAGGCTGCAGCTATACTACCTACATATTGAAATAAGTAGAAATGACTTTGAAAGTGGTATAATGTGCTTACCTATCAAACTGCTTACCTATCAAACTCTCTGAATGCAGTCAAAAGGGTAACAAGGACCTTCATTGTCACGTTCTCGTTCAAAATAGTTTATTAGGATTAATACAAAAACTCGAAAAACTCGTTATTTTAACTACATATTATGCTATACCGAGTAAATTCCAATTTAAGTAGTTTTTATTGAAATTCAAAATTTATTCTTCATTTTTAGGAAATGTTAAATATGTCAAAATCCTTACATTTTAGTCATGTACTTCTCTAAGGAAACTCGCCTTTATTTTTCTCCCACAATCCAAAAATTAATATACCGTGCTGGCAACTGTTACTTTTGGGCCGATATTTACATGTGTGGATGTAAATCGCATAGGAATATTATTAAGTCGGAGTGAGAGAAATGCGACGGTGTGCTGTTGCGGCGTTGGCAGTGCGCCTTTCCCTGTCAAGTAAAGTTAAATCACGATCGCAAACCGCTTATTTTTAAAATCTATTTTTTTCGAAAAGATACTAGATAAAATCATTAAATATGTTTCTGAGCATCTGAAATGGAATTATAAGGATATCGTTAAGGTGTCGATTTTTTTTATAACGAGAAAACGTCAGTAATTGCGATAATTTAAAAACTCTATTTTTAACACATAACACGCCATAACTTAAGAACCACTTTAGATATTGATTTTTTTTTATTTTGAAGATCAGATCTTTTACTATTTGTTTAAATAAGAAAAATTGGATAAAAGGTTGTTTTTTCCATTCAAAAATTTTAAACAACCCATCCATTTACTTTTAGTGCATAGCAATTCTCAGTAATCGTGTAACTTTTTATTTATAAAGATTTTCACATACTGTCTGCGAAGAAAATATAGCAGATATGTTTAGAAAGTTTATGAAAAAACTACAATCAATTATTTCTAGTAGATTTCAAGATATCGATTTTTGAATTCAGAGTCCTAATAGCGCGACCACTGTCGAACACCAACTCAATTCCACTTGTTTTTACCAAAAATGTAAGTGTTTCGAACTTGCACTTAAAATTTTTCAAGCTATAGGGAAAATTACAATGACTCGTTAATAAATAAACAAATAAAGTATCACTAAACGTAATTAAATCGTGAAGTTGAACGCATGATGTACAATGTACACCTTTCCCTAGAACTTTAAGTACTGACAGAGGTACTGATTGGATCGACCCGTCGACTGCGACACATCTGCTATATCCCCTTGCACGTCTCTTAGCAATGTGCACAGTTTCACGATTTATTTCATACGTTTGGCAACGTGTTTACTGATCTCTCTTTGTTCAGTACATTATAAACGCATTGTACTCTTCTTACATACAGAATTATCGACCCAAGACTCACCCAAGACTAACCTTTGCTAGCCCTTAGTATAGGGTGTCCCATTACAAAAAAACACAACTTCGATGTGTAACTTTTTCTGGGTTGGGTTGGTTATGAATTAACCTACTAAACTCACAAAATATGATATCAATAAAAACTGTCGTTCTCCTTGGAGCCTCCGCATCATATGAGATGCGCCACCCTGTATATTGAAGGGAAGGCTTAAGCTTGATTTTCATGCGTCCGTTATCCGTTGATACGATGGTCCGATATTAATTTTATTGGTTGACTTTAAAGACTTCAATTGGTTAGAAACGGTAAACCAATCGAAGTCTTTAAATTCAACCAATAAAATTAATATCGTATCATCGTATCATTAGACAACGGATGCACGAAAATCAAACTTTAATCTGAAATATGATATCGTTTTTAGTAGATTAAATAATTATGTATTTTATTATTCAATATATTAGTTTTTATTTAATTTTTTTGTGTAGATTTCGTTAAATTTTCAGGAAACCAGTTCCGATAGACCAAGAAATACTACGCTCCATGAAAATGCAGGGACCTATAGGTTATGCACCAAATCCGAAGCTAACTCGGCGAAACCAAGTGAGAACCGATAAGTTACAAACTGTTTATTATTAATAGAATCTAGAAATACAAAGAAGACATGGGGCCTTTCTCTATGACTCTTTCTCTTTTAAGGAAAAATATTTTTTTGTTATTAAATAACATATATTATTAAGCTTATGAATATATAATGTTTTTTTTTCTTTCGGTATTCTATTATTATGTTGAAAATATTTATCTTTATAAAATAATTAGTGCTTTTTGTTTTGGACTGTTGAACGCTGTGATAAAATAAAACTGTTCAGGTTATAACTATTTCTTGTATTTTATTCTAATCTCCTCTTTAAACGTCTTAAAATATACAACGGCTTGTTTAAGGTGTGTGCTTGGGACTCAAATCTTATAGAAGCTTCTTTTCTGGATTAGTCTCACTATCCTACTTTTTTCTAAGCTTTTAAGTATGTACTATTTTATTATTCAGTTAGAATGTTTTATTAAAAAATGAAATAATCTAGATATAGGTTAATATTTTTTCAGGTTATGTATGAGTTTGGACAAAACGGACAGACGAATTCGCATAACAAGAGTCCCCAGCATCACGAAAACGACTCCAATTTTATTGCAATTCCAAAACGCTATAGGAAAGTCGATGTCAAGTATAATAAAATGGGACAAGACGAATTTCAGTTTGACAACTATAATAAAACCGGACTAGCTGGCTTAGAGTCGATGTTGCCGAATGCTTATTGTAATGCAGTTATTCAGGTATGTTTGCTATGCCCTATGTGTCGGCTTGGCGTCAGTGTGACGTAAGGTTTGATAGCGTGCGTGTGCTTGCAATTTCTTTGTGTTTAAAGCTAAAAAAACTATTCTTTCCATTTCTTTGTGTTTATTGAAACCCTTTCCATATTTTATAGTCTATAAAATGAATAACTTTGAATTTTGAACGTTATTTTTTACCAACATGGCAAATATAAAATCCCTCTGTCAAAAAAGTTACTGATATTCTTTATATATATAATTGAGTGCCTGAACGAATCAGATAGGTAACTCTTTTTACTTTGGTGAAATAGAAAAGGAAAATAATAAAACAAGTGACAGTTCTTCCTCTTCTTGCAAAAATCAACACGAAATGACATAATTGTCAAAAGTAAAATGTCATCAGCTTTTGACATTTTCAAGTATCAAACCAATGCCGTCTCTAACAGAACAGCCTCGGAGTGAGATTTATGACGTCACGCTAGTTAGATACTACGGATTAATAAATATGTTGTAGAATACATGGAAAACATAATTATTCCTCGTATTTTTGGTTTGTATTTTAAAAATGATATGAAAAAAATAGTGTCGAATATAATCCAAAAAATTACATATAAAATATTCTAAATATATATGTTACTGTAAATGTCCGAAATACGGTAAAACCTAGGATTTATCAAAAGCAAGTGGTAGTAAAAACCAACCAACCCCACCAAATAACCACCTAACCAATGCATTAACACCCCCTGAATAACCAGGCTAACCAATGCATTAAGACCCTCCAAATAACCAGGCTAACCAATGCATTAACACCTTCCAAATAATCACGCTAACCTAATTAGTTAATGCTTTTGGTAAATCCTAGGTTTACCGCACTTATTCTTGGTTTATCAAGTATCAAACTAGCGTGACGTCATAAGTCTCGCTCCTAGGATGTTATACTAGAGACGGCATTGCGTCAGCATGGCCGCAAGTTGCCAACCTAATAAAATTAACACTAGAAAAGCCCGCGGGAACTGTCAGATTCAAAGTTATTCGTTTCACAGACTGTAATAAATATAGTAAACGCCACGAATGTTTGGGAGTGATTCATCGGTCGCTACCATGTGAACTAATCTGTTCCAGGTCAAGTAAAACTTAATTCCAGTGCCGTGGTGTTTCAACTCATATAATAATCAATATATAATCTGTTGTAATTTGTTGTTTTAACTGTCAAAGTCTTGTCAAAACATATATTTGGTTATAAATATAAAATGGAATTCCTCATTTGCAAGCACACCAATGGACTGACGCACAAAAACGAATCAATCAAAGAAACGCGATATAGTATCGTCTTTGTCAATCACGCTAACATTTTAGAATAAGTAGGAGGAGCGCAGGCAGATGATTAGACCGGGCCTTTAAAAACCTACGTCTGCGGTAAAAATTTACGTTTTTAATGTAAAAATGATAGCGCGCGTGTCCATTCTAACTTCATCAAGCTATGAATCACTCCCAAACATTCGTGGCGTTTACTATAATTAAGTATTATCTACAGGGTTGTTCACCACATACGACACGGAGTATTGTAGCTAAACGATTATATTTTTGCAAATTGTAAGTTTTGGGTTCGTTGAAGGACTATTAGAGCTACAATATAAAAATATTTTTACAAAATACAGAGTGTCCCAAATAAATAAAAAATATCAAAGTTGTATTTTTTTAAATGGAACACCCTGTATATTATGACATTTTTAATTTCTACGATTAAAATAAAGGTAAATTTGATTAAGGTTTGCCGCTTTTTAATCTTATCGTTTTTGAAATATTTAGGTTTTTGTCAAAATACAGATATAATTTTAATGCTTTATTTCTCTAGGCGTATTTAAGTTTTTAAAACCAAATATGACTGTACTGAAGTATTTCTATTTATTAAAGTTTGTGGTGCAATAATAAAAATTACACTACCTTTTACAGAGTGTCTAAAAATTTATTTTAAATAATTATTAGCTTTAAACGACAATAACTTATAACAACTATAACAATTAAGTATGTAATTAATCAGTGGCGGATACAGAGGTGGATTAAATATTAGGCTCTTGGGTTAAAAATGGCGCTCTAAAAAGCATATTCTATTCTATTATTTAGCATTATTATTCTATCACTTTTTATTTGCCCCCCCCCCCCCTAAAATAAATTTCTGTATCCGCCCTTGTAATTAATTAATATTTGGGCGGAAATAATGATGATATATTTTAAAAAACTTCAGTAATATTTAGTATTAAAAACTTTGATACCCTTAGAGAAATGCAGCCTTAACATTTTTACTGCAATTTCACAAAATTGAAAATATTTCAGAAACGGTAAGGTTTGGTTTGGTAAGGTTTAAACCTTAATCAAATTTACCTTTATTTTAATCGTAGAAACTAAAAATGTAATAATATACTGGGTGTTCCATTTAAAAGAATACAACTTTGATATTTTTTATTTATTTGGGACACTCTCTATCTTTTAAAAATATTTTTAAACTGTAGTCCTTCAAGGAACCCAAAACTTACAATTTGTAAAAATCTATTCGTTTAGCTACAATACTCCGTGTCGTATGTGGTGAACAACCCTGTATAGAGTGTAATTTTCGTTTTCATTTACTAAAAAATGATCTTTTCAACATACACTATGATTTATGATATTGCATGATGAATGTTGACATTAGATGGTGTATGATATTTGACCAATATTTCTGATATGCCCCCAGCAAATTTGTGAATCTTGACATTCACTGGAGTATCTTGACATTCACCGCATTTGGAGCTTTCAGAGTAACATATAGGTATGTTTTATTTCAGGTTCTTTACCACATCGAACCTCTTAGAGCAGCTTTGCTATCACATATATGTGCAAAGGAATTTTGCTTATCGTGTGAATTAGGCTTTTTATTTTACATGTTGTGTAACAGTGCTCCAAATCAACCCTGTCAACCAGGAAATTTTTTAAGGGCATTCCGCACGGTACCTGAAGCATCCGCTTTGGGGTTGATACTCAGCGATCTTGCACCCGAAGCTAAACAAAAAATCGACTTAGGAGGTCTAATCCAAGTAAGTAATTCAAGTAAAATATTTTTTTGCAAAAAAATGTTTTATATGTTTACTGTTTACCTACGTTTATTTAGAGTTGGAACAGGTTCATACTTCATCAAATGCACGTTGAACTAAACGATACAAGAAAATATAATGAAGAAAAGAAAGGAAAGCCACCCAAACCGTTTATTTACAAAGAAGTTGATTTTCCAGCTATTTCCAAAGAGAAAAACAAAAACGAGAGAAAACATTCAGGTATTTTTTTATTTTATAATGCTCGATAGCCCAGTCAAATTAGACAAATCGGTGGAAGAAATTCCTAGAGTGTAAAAATGGTTTTAAACGGTTCCTCCAGACTTGGTTTGATATGAAATTAAGGAAGGAGCATATCAAAAATATTAGATCCACCGCGATGGGACTCAAATATGGCCGACTTACATCAGTTACATACGTTTATCAGTGCGTTCTAATTTTATTTAAAAAGTGTAAAACTGTGATGTAGGGTAGACGTGGGGTAGACTCAATAATTTCTTGTTTTATTTTACGTTGTGAATAAATGTTGGTATTTATATATATTTATAAAAATCTATAATTCTATTAAAAATACATGTTATAATAATTATTTATTAACACAAACATCCAATACGCTACTGATGAATTCAACGTCAAATTAACGTATCTAAATTCTTTGACATCTAATCTTTGACAAGTAGTAAATAAAAACAAAAATGCAAGAAAAAATATATAATTAGTTAATTTAAATGAATTTCATAAATGATCAGTTTACTACATGTATATGTATTATACAGGGTGTCCCAGAAATAAGTGCAAATATTTTAACTGGTAGTATAGTTCAACCCCAGAAACACGCCTATGAGGTTTTTTGCGAAAAAAAAATGTTGAAAATTTAAAATTTTTCTTGACATTTTCCGGGCAATTTGAAAAAACTTTTTAGTGCCACTTGTTTATTTACCTGAGATTTCTCTACGGTGTATCTAAACCTTGCAGTGTTGCAACCTCCTATGTTATCCACATTCTACATAGTTCGGCGGAACATAGTTCTACATTTATAAATGCATAGACAAATTTCTACTCAAAAAATTAGGAATGTTAAATTTAATCTTTTATCAGTGCTCATTATTAATAATTATAGAAAAAAAACATTAATTATTTTTAGTACTTACCCTTTCAATGAAAACTTAACAAAACCACCGAAAATTAACTAAAACATTACGTTTATGACGTTTACGAAAATCTTTGTTATGCTGCAAAATAACTTTATTTTGGAATAAATTTAATAAAATGATTCATAGTATTCACAATTAGGTCACAAAAAGAAATTCCTAAAATGTTTATCGTAATTTAGAATTCAATTCAAGAAATTTAGAAAACAGCCCAACGAATAATTGATTCATTTTTGTTTTGTTTGTTTCTTTCATGTTTCTCTGTTTTATTTGAACCACTCTTTTACTAAACACCTTGAAAAGCGTACATTACTTTGAATACCTTTCTGAATGAATAAATGTTGAGAAATTATTGTCTCTTTTCGCCACTTTACGAACTACTTTCAGTCTAAGAAAATACATGTTTCACTCAACAATTATTGACAACGTATTTTGTTTTTTCGCTATTTTTTCGATGTATTTCGACAATTTCATCGACAGCCTAACCGGTCGTTCTTCTCTGGCCTAACCGTGAGCCAAGAACCGCAGCGTGTGAACTGGTACTTTGAGTCGCCGGTCGCCGCGCCGCGCCGTCGTGGCGGGCTTGCGTCAGACGACGATGTTAAGCAACGTTGCCGTAGTTACAACAATTTCAAATTCAAGACATTCGAAGTAATCAAATTCGTATTAAATTTTAAAAATAAAACAGAGAAACATGAAAGGAAATAAACAAAACAAAAATGAATTGATTATTCGTCGGGCTGTTTTCGATGTATTGAATTCTGAATTACGATAAACATTTTAGAAATTTCTTTTTTGTGACCTTATCAATAACCAATTCATTTGTGGTTTGTTTGTTTCCTTTCATGTTTTTCTGTTTTATTTTTAAAATTTAATTAGAATTTGATTGCTGCGAGTGTCTTGAATTTGAGATTGTTGAAACTACGGCAACCTCGCATGACGCAAGCTCGACACGGCGGCACGACAAAGGAGCAGTTACCAGTGATGGCCCGCTCTCTTGGCCGGCGGCCGACGCGACGATTGGGTTGTCGATGGAATTGTTGAAATACATAGAAAAAATAGAATAAATAAAAACAAAATACGTATTTAAAATTGTTGAGTGAAACATGTATTTTCTTAGATTGAAAGTAGTTCGGAAAGTGGCGGTAAGAGACAATAATTCGCAACATTTATTCATTCAGAAAGGTATTCAAAGTAATGTGTGCTTTTCAAGGTGTTTTGTAAATCAGTGATTCAAATTGTGATGAGGTCTATATGAAAATAATGTGTTAAAAATGGGGACTGTTATTTTAGTAGTTATTATAATAACTACAGCATGTACAAGTAAAGCAGCACAGTGAAGTGTATTTTAGTTAAGTGTATATCGAAAAAGAGAACTGTCACAGTTACATCCATCTGTCATAAGTATCTTTTTTAATGTTGGGTAAATTTCTTAATTTAGCTTCTTTAACACATTTTTTAACACATTATTAAACATTTAACTTTTAATTTATTTTATGTAATAATATCACAATCTTAAAAATGTAATGCATCTCTGCAAACTCCTCTGGTGTTGTGATTTTATTACTTACTTTTAACATATACTTTCTTGTCCCTATGGCAACACAGTGCGTCGAATTAACTAAAAAACCATGGACCACACAGCTGAGGTAGCGTTATATATGATTAAGGGTCTTAAAGATCTCCATCTTCGTCTGCTGTGGCTGTTAGTTGAGATCTGGTTCTCTGGGATTGTACTGTTGCGGATCCGTATGGACTAAGAAGAGGGCAGTGTTGCGGACCCGTGTGAACTCGGCATAACCTAACTAATATGTCCCGCCCCCATATGACCTTAAATATTGCCTTAAAGAATAGACACCGTAATGATTCATTCGAACGTTCGAGAACAATCGAGTTCCACTGGAATTAGTGTAGAATAAATTGTGTTTAAATAAATTGTTACTTTCTATCCACACGGAACCGACGAAAAACGTAACAGTACATTATTGTTATGATATTCTATATGTTTTCTTCCTGCATAGAAATAAGTACAGGGCGTTCTATTTTGGTTGAAATCATAGATAGAAGGATGCGGTTTGCACAAACCTCTCCCACTTTTTGTCAAACGGAAGATGCTGTAAACAAAATGTTCATAGCTCTCTTCGTTTCTGAGCTACAGGGTCTTGTTCATTGGGACAACCCCCGTATCTCCGTTATTGGGGATGATATCGAGAAGATAAAAACTGATTCTTGTAGAACTTTTTACGTAGAATACAGTGGCGTAGTCTGTTTTTCTACGAAAGAAATATTTTTGAAAATATGAACTAAAGTTATGTTTCTTCAAATGGAACACCCTGTATATTTATAAATCATATGATCCGTTTTGCTATGAGCTTGTCAAAAATATATATCCCTGTATATTAATTTTTACTATTTATTGCAATATTTAAAATTATCATTTTTTTTATTAGCGAAGCCGTGATAAATAACAAAAAAGTCAAAATGGTATTTACTAAAATAGTCATACACATTAAAATTTTGTTTGGGATTGATATATTTTACTTTTAAACTGTTACCACTGAATCTCTGAATTATTTTACCACTGTACTCACTGAACATCTTTTTTTTTATAACTGAATTTATTATAACAGTTTGCAAATATCTAAAAGCTTTTCGAAAGGCTTGCATTATTGAAGCATTTTCTAGGTGTTCGACATTGTTGTAGTTGCCACGATATATTTCATATATCAAAAATTGCCTAAATCAGAAATCGAGAACGGACAAATCCGGGAATCAGGGAGGCCATCATATGGATCCATTGGTTTCAATTCATTGATTTGAGAAATAATAATAATTTAACAAAATTCTAATATTTTCAAAGTTGTAAGGGGGAGCCCCATCTTGCTGACAGTATATTTCGCGTAAATTAGCTAAGGGAAGTTCCTTTAGCTAATTTAAATTTACCTTAGCTAATTGGCCTTAGGATCTAAAAGTTCCGATACGGTAGCTTCCAAGATTTCCAAATAGCGGTAAAGAGTTAAGTTTCCCTACTAACTAAACTTTTAAATATTGTAGTAAATAGTGAAAATAAATATAGAGTGATATAATATTTTTGAGAAACTTATGGCAAGCCAGATCATATAATTTATAAATATACAGGGTGTTTGTTCTATTTAAGAAAACATAACTTTAATACATATCTTTAAAAATATTCTTTTAATAACAGACTACGCCACTATATTCTACGTATAAAGTTCTACAATAAACAGTTTTCATGTTCTCGATACCTTTAACAATTACGGCATCTTCCATTTGACAAAAAAGTGAGACAGTTTTGTGCAAACCGCACCTTTCTATCTTCAGTAGTAACGGAGATACTGTATGATTTCAACCAAAATGGGACACACTGAAAAAAAACGGATCATTATAAGAAAACTGTAGGTTGCATAATGCTCAATGAAACGAAATATGCTGGGAATAACCAAGAAAAACTGTAAAAGAATAGAGTGGATACGACAAAAGACCCAGGTAATAGATGTCATCCACAGAGCCAAATCCCTCAAGTGGCAATGGGCAATATATATCTGGCAAGAAGGACGGACAACAGATGGACCTCAAAAATTACAGCATTGTATCCACGAGGAATTAAGAGACCTGGAGGGACACCAAACATGAAATGGAACCATAATATTAAGAAATTAGCAGGGGTAACTTAAGCCCGCATAGCCAACAATAGACAACAGTGGGCCCAACTACAAAGAGAGTATCTAAATATGTTTTGAGGTGAGCCACTTTTGAGACGAACCACCCGGTCTAAGAGAGGCTACACTATAATTGGAAATGGTTGAATAAGCTGAGAATGATGATGATGAAGCTAAAAAATTATTTTTTTTCTTTGATAAATCTCCAATATTACTTGTTTCTTACTGTGGTTCTTATTATTTGTTGTAGCTGCCGAAATTACTGACGAACTTGAAGAAGAACGACGTGAAGATATATCCGAAATCAGTAATTTATTTGGTTCGAAGCAAGTGCACAAATACTGCTGTCTCAAATGTACCAATGAACTCCCCAAAGAAACAGTTATATTAGCATGTAATTTGGTACGTAAACATTTAAATTTATTCTTGTTAGGAAATAAAATAATATTGCGTAGGTTTATCCGACCACCGAACCTGAAAAAGACGAATGGAGTTTTTGTGACATATTAGCAAGATCTTTGGGCCCTGAACAAACCACGCCTGCTTGGTGCGAAAAATGTCTCAGATTCACACCCAACTCACAAAGTAGAATTATACAGGTACTTTAGAATTTATTCAATACTTTTTAAGCTTAGTACCTTTACTTTTTAGTCTCTACCAAAAGTCCTCTCCATTAACACTGGCCTACATAGTTCACAGCACAAACAGTTCTGGCAAACTCAGATGGATAAGGTAGTAGCTAAAATGTCATCTACTGATCTTGGAAAGTAAGTAATCATTTTTATCATAATGGCATTTTCTTTATATCGATCGGGTTATCCTAAAAGCGTTGTAAAGGTGCCCATTCAAACCCCAAGTTAAAATGTCTCCATATATATACAGGCCGTCGACAGGTCTGAATCTGCAGATCGCTTGAATCTCACGACCGACTGAAATGTATGTCGAAAAATCGACAGTTCTAATCGTACTTTCCCATCTTATGACAAGTTGAAAGTTTTGTACTATCAAGATGAGCTATTTAAGTAATAATACGACTTTTAACCGATTTTATTGATTTGTATAGGCAATTGCCCTGTCTGAGGAAAACTAAATCAAACAGACAGGAAAAAACTAAAACTTACGAAAAATTCTTTGAATTTTATAAAACTGTTGATGGAACTTAAAAAGCGCGAAAATCAAAGCGTTCAGGTGAACCGTTTTTGTATTTTTCTTTGGTATTAAGAGCTTAAACATCTTTAAAAGTTTATTAATACATGTGTCATTCATTCTGAGGTAGTTTTTATGGTCATCTGTTCACTAGTTCTTAATTTTCGCACTTCATATGAGATAATGTATCACGCTGTAACAACCAATTTTTCACACAGAAACGCTTTTTAGTCTTTGTAATTGGCTCTTGCAATAACAAAAGCACGAGAAGTGTATTTTTTGTATTTAAAAACATTTTTCACTTCAAGAGCATTCGATTAAAACTGACCATATCTTGTGTGTGGTGAAAGCACAGCTTTCTTTCAGTTCAAAAACTGAAAGTCCCAAAACTGAAGATCGCATTGACGTAACTGCATTGTGTGTGGCCTGACAAACTTTAGATCTTCAGTTCAGATCGTACAGTCCTAGAACTGCCAGCGAACTGTATGTGAATGGGCACCTTAAGACAGTGGTCTAGACCATAGATAAAAGAAAATAATCTTCTATTAAGATAGATATGAAACTTAATAGTAAAATTTTGGGTCAAAGCGCCCCTCCGTGTTCTTAGTAGAGACTACGTTTAACCCAGCGCCTTCGCCTTTTTTTGCTGTAAATATTTTTTATCTTTATATTTGATTTCAAAGGATTTAGTTTTAAAGTTACTCTGATATATTAGTATATCAGAGTAATTTTAATAAAACATAATGATATATATATTTTACAGTTTATTAAATATAAATTTTGACTACAAGGTAGAAAGTAAATCACAATATTTGACAAAACTTATAAGTATACCATTTTTACTGTTAATAAATAATAAAACTATTCCTGACTATGATATTTAAAATTTAGAGAGATGGAATATTAAAAAACATACCGGTATTTGCAGACGCAGGCCCAAATTCAATAAAAACCAAAATTTTTCTTGCGAAAATCGGGCTTTTTTCAGAGAAAAGGTATTTTTGATGTATCAACAATCATTGTCAAGTTGACAATATACAGGGTTTTTTCTAATTAGTCTAAAAAATTGTGGTGTGATTCCTCATGTCTTCTTAAAACAATTTTTATATAACCATTGGGTCTAAAGTACTTCCTTTCTGATCTACAGGGTGTTAAAAATTAAAAAAAATCGATATTTTGCTTAACATAAATGGTACACTACTGCTTTTTTAAAGAAAATATATTTTTTTCTTGACTGGGCATCCTTTTTCAACAAAATTGATATTTTGAGTTTTTCTTGTTCATCAAACGGTTGCCGAGAAAAAAATAAATATACTTATTAAGAGCCCACCTTAAGCCGTTTTCTAACGATTTTTTATTTTTTAGATTAATTAGGAAACACCCTGTATATGCATATCACAGGCAACCAAATAAACTAGTAACCTCTAAAAATTATTTTTCCTACCACTAGCGACGTACCGTGTTTTTAGTGAGTACTAAATTATTTTATCAAAATTTCACCATATAAGTTTCCAGGCAATGATCTAGACAATGTAATGAAAATACAAAGTATTAAAGAGAGATAAACGTTGAGGTTGATACATTTATTCTATGCGGTGTTGCCGGATTAAAACTTCAAACCGCACAAGTACAGTTCATACTCATACCAAATAAACTTTTAGTCACGTGCTTAAGCTTGACCGGCACAGCGTTGTCCCCTTTTATATATTTTATTTTATTCAAAGCATTTTAGGAAACAAAAATAAATTAATTATAAATATTTTTTTAATTACATCAAAAAAAACTCACGTTCTTAACAGCACTTATGGGACATAAGAAGCCATTACTGTCGCTTTCCCGTTCAAAATATTCTAATAAAGTTGCGATGACTTTTTTATGGCTATATATTTTGAGTAGTAATGAGAATATAAAAAAATATTTTAGGATTTTCTCTGTAGTAGGCAACGCCCTTTTTGTCTACATTATATGCAAGCCCCTGTTCTACAGGGTGTCCCAATATTCCGTGGACATAGAACTACTAAATATTTTTGGAATCAAAATAAATTCTTTCGACACAATTTACCTCTATACAAAAGTGCTTCGTTTGTCCGCTGGAGGACATCAAACTTTAAAAAAATACAAACCAAACCAAACCAAACCAAACCAAACACATTTTTTCAAATATATTAAGAACCGTTATTTCGATTTATGTAGGGGTGGGGGTAGTTTTCACCCTTTCCGTACTTTTTTCTTGATTTTTGTCAAAGTCAAATGTTAAAGCACCTAGCACAACATAGACACCCAAAATCTCATTCAAATCGGAATAACGGTTCTTAAAATATCTGAAAAAATGTGTTTATTTTTTTAAAGTTTGATGCCCTCTATCGGACAAACGAAGCTCTTTTGTATAGAGGTAAATTATATACAATAAACTTATTTTGTAAAAAAATGTCTATACCTATGTGGCGGATTCATCTTTCCAAAAAAAATCCTTTATGGGTATTTCGCCACTGCACTGCAAGAAAATCTACAAAATAAAATAATTATTTTTTGTAAACACTTCTGCGTTAAACCTAAACGGACGCTGCTTGTCAGAAGTTATGTTTACAGTAATACAAATTTGCCTAACAAAGCAAAATAAAAATGCTTAACGTTTCGGAAAGTTATCTCTTTCCGTCGTCGGAAGCAAAAAAATACAAAGGATAAAGAAAAAAACTATTTAAAATATTTAAGTATGTGCGCCATGTGGATATGAACTTTGAGTAAACATTTGAAATACATAACCGTTTAAGCGCAGACACCATATACATATAAACTTTATTATCTATGGCAGACACCCATGGCCTCATCTTGATTGCACCAACTTTTGTTTATTTTTTTTATGTAGACCGTCCACTCCAACAACAACACCCACCAATACGCCATCTTCAAAACCTTGTCGATACGGCGATCACTGTTCGAGACCTGGCTGTCGATTTAGGCACAGTTTTGATAATACTCCTCCCCCCGTACCTGTAAACAATCCCTACTGCAGCAACAATTGGTTACCACATAAAATTAAGATGTCTTTAGTTAATGACAAACTGGAAGTTAAGAAGATTTCTACAACTGAAAATGTAAGTTTGTTCACCTATGAGTAATCGCAAAACAATTTCCGATGCACGTGATCAATTTTGAACGACAAGCGATGGCGACAGCGCTGCCAGATTGTTATGGATTTATGAGATGAATCTTAATTCAAAATGGACAAGCAATATATTTATTATATCAGTTTTTAAATATTTTACGGTTTATTTTTAATTTAATAACTAATAGTTTAGTAATTAATTGATTTACTTTTTTAACTTATTTTACTTATTACATATTGGCAAAAACTAGTCCATTGTGAACATCGTGCCCATAAGGTCAATGTAAACACTATTTGACGCTATTCGCAACGGTCGCGACCCCAAGCGTTTGCAAATTTGGGAGCGGTTAGGCTTTTTCCGGAATTATATTTCGTATCCTCGTCCAAATAGATATACACCCGTAGTATCATTATCCTACTTTATCGAGCACATTTTATTCCCAATTACGTAAAGAATACATTTTTTGTTAGCCATAGGCCTTAGTCATCCGTACCCGACCGTCAGCCTCCTCATAACATTATTGTGCTTTGTCGAGTAAACAGTATAGTTAGAAATGAAAATGCCGAAATATAATAAAAGGAAACGTACCTTAAGTGCTAGTGGTGACAAAAGTGAAAGGCTGGAAAGGGAAAGAAGACATCTCTTTAGAAAATTGGATTTTTTGGATCGAAAACGGCGTATAAGAGTGTACAGTAGTACTAGTGATGAGGAGAACGAAAGTGAGTTCTAAATACTTTCGTAGTTACTGGCTATAAATGTTAAAGCCAAACATAAAAAGAGACATAACTGTTAAGTCTCAAATTACATGTAATAGCTATAACTATTAAAGCTATTTTTTGTCAACAAGGGGCGTAAGTAGTAAGTAATTATATATATTTTTTATTATCTTAGGTGGTTCCTCACCACCTCCACAAGAGGTAGAAGTAGATTTACTTTAGTCAATTTACTGGCTTGGGTTAACCCACCCTGTGGATATAATTATTATATACACGTGGGTCACATTTAACATAATCTGTATTTTCCTGCTGGAATTGGAAAATGGTGAGACAAGTATTATGATTCTGTCTAATATTTACTAGCTTGGGTTAATCCACCTTGTGGATGTAAACATATGCTCATATAAACATTGTAACCCAGCATAGTTCTTGACTTATGCACGCTAGTATGTCTCTGAAATGAATATGTCTCTGATGTATGAACTATTAAAATGATCTATATCTCGGATCCTTTATTTTGTGGCTGTATTTGAAAAATCTGCTTTGCAGTTTTGATTAAATAAAAGCTTGTGTTCAAACAGGTAACTATATATTATTATGTTATACCCGGCCACAAAACGCCGAACAGAGTGCTTTTCTACAGCGCAGCGGCAGGGTGACGCAACATTGTTGTTTGTTTACCTTTTTCTAGTGTGTTTTTTGCTCACTTTTGATAAATCTTTTATGGTTCGTTTTGAATTGGAAATAATGAACTTTATTTTTTTTAGACAGGTCAAAACGAATCTGAATCTGTTTAATAAAAAACCACAAGGCTATTTGTTTACAAAAATGAGTACGTGACTAAATGCAAAGTAAATACCGCTATCGGTTCTTAAACTAAACATCTTGCTACACAAATGTACCTTAGGCCCTTGTTTATATATTCTTATACTAAGAGTCGGCATTTGTGGTCTTGGGTGCCGGTTTTCATGTGTACGAAGAGTACGGTCAACACGCTTAGTAAAATAAGATGTACTGAATAAAGACAGAAGGCGAGTATTTTCCCAAGCGCATGAAATCTAGCGTCAGATTAAGTAGTTATGTCATGTAATAAATACTTCGTATTTTTGCTCGCTCCGACTTACTAGATTGCCATAACGACTCCTATACATATAAACGCCGATCCAAAGGTTCGCTTGCCAGCAGGGTATACAAGGCTTAGGCTGAGATAAAATATTTTATTAAAAAATATTTTAAACGCTCTCCAAAAATGTTTTTTTTTTTTGCCTTTTATTAAAGGTACAGATTCAGATAGTGAGTTTATATTAGGATTTGTCTTAGAATTACATGTTTGGCAATTGTCTTTTGGTTGCCATATAGCATAAATTGGCTAAAAAATTATACATACATTATTATGACTTACAATAAACTTATATTTATTTAATTTCAATCGTCCTCGGAATCAAATCTAGAACAATCATTTAATTCAAATTCGAGAGAGAGAAAGATGTATGTAGGCCCCATGGGCCTCCCCTCCCCTCTGTATCCACAATTGGTTGAACTTAAAATACGTGACACTCTTGAAATTAGGTGGATGCTTATCTTTCTTATAGATGAGTCACAGAAACGAAAGACAGTCTAAAATATTTTTCCCATCCCCAGCAGTTGCAGTATATTATAAGCACCGAGGTTAAATCCGGAGGTCCAAATCATGTTTTCTTGATAGACCTACAGCACGTTTTTAGGAAAAACAATGTCACCACTAGGACCAAACAATTACAAGGTTAGTGGAACTTTCCAAATAAAATAACCCAGGTTGCAGTTACCCTTAAAATCTGATAGATTTAGGGAAACCGTTATGTTAGGAGCATCCTACTGTAACCATCCAAGGTTTTTTATTAAATTCACACTTTAATCGTAAAATTAAGAGCATGGCGATTGGTCAAATAAGCGATGATATGCTTTTTAGTAAAGTTTTAGTGAAAAATGCAAAGAAGCCAAGAATCTTGAGAATACCAGGAAAAAAAATACTAGCAGGCTCATCTCAGAAATCAAAACACTTAAAAATGAGTGCTTTGAGATCCAGGTGAAGGTCTACAGACAGAATAATGAAAAGATAAGAAGGGACAAATTCCTAGAAGAGTCATTTTAAAAAGAACCAGGAGGGAGCAAGAATTCCAAAGAAGGCGGATGTATTCGAGGTCAATAATTCACGTTAGAACTCAAAATAATCATGCTGGTATAATTGATTATTTATAGCCAATGGTTGAACATAACACATAACCAACTTGTTTTTAGTTATTAAAAATGTTATAATAAATAAGGTTGCGATTACAATACCTTTGAAGTCTGAAACTAGTAGACCTAAAATTTTTGACTACCTAAACCATATAGTCGTCCGGAAACTCTTATACTTTTAAAATATAAATTAAAAAAAAATGAATGAATTTTAAGCTTTTTCTTGGAATTTGCACTATGCATATCTTTTTCAACCCCGGTAATTAACACCGGTAATTTACTGTTTAAAGGAAAACATTTTTTGCGAATAAACTATCTTGTTCTTTCATTAGATAAACATTTAGCGGAATGTACTGGAAATAAATATAAATTAAAAGATAACATAAAATAAAAAAAGGTATCTTCACGCCTGCTCAAGAAATTTCATATTTAGATTTTATCTTAAATACAAAATTAATGGAAATGTATCCTACAGACACAAAGAAATGTAAGATTAAAAAGTTAGTGCTGAAATTTTCAAAAAAATATAGATAGTATGTATCCATACTAACTATAATATGGTTTGTTCGCAACTTATAGGCACTTTAATTTCTTTTTGTCCCGCAGATAAATACAGCTCGCTTTATAGATACTAAGAGACTTGAATGAGCTAAATACAAAGCCCTTAAGGAAAATAATAAAAATTATAACGCGTTCTTTGTGTTCAAGTTTACGACTGATTGCTCAGAAACATAGAATGTGCAGGTCAAAATGTCATGCTTCGTAAATATACTCTTACTTACTAGGTTATCGATGCATCAAAATCGGGTTTGGGTACCTATTGTAATTATTTAAACGCTAGAGGTTTTTGAGACCAAGAATATCATATACTAATAGAATGGGAGGTGTAGAATAATTGCACCTTAATTTTATCACTACTAAAATCTGGAAATGGTGGATTGTCCTTGACTTCTCCTTGAATTTATAAAAAGATGGTATCCACTCGAAAATATTCATTAGAATTGCTCACAAAAAAAAACCTTGCTACTCTCCTAATTCCTGCAATTGGACAGAGACTTCAGACACTGTCAAAAATTTCTCTAAAAAATATAAAGTAGAAGACTCTTCTATTACAGATTTTACAGATATCTTAAAAACTTCGAATTACAATAGAGAGCAACCCGTTTTAAAATTAAACAAATTTAGCGACAGCCCTGAACTTTGTGTTGCCAGCACTTTAGAAGCTTTCCTAAAAAGGACTGAATCATTAAGAGGGGAAGGAATTATATTTTTCTTACTGATAAAAAACACCACAAGGTGGCAAGTTTTCAGTCTATAAGTCGCTGGATAAAAGAGGTGTTAAACGAAAGTGGAATCAACACAAAATTGTTTAGTACTCATAATACTAGTTTGGTTAGGTTAGGTTAGGACGCGACCTCTTCAGCGGCCTACAGAAAGGGATTTAATATTGATCAAATAAAGAATACTGGTATAAAAAATATATTATATTTATCAAATAATATATTGATCAAATAAAGAATACCATACTCAAAATCAAAAGTATTTCAAACATTTTATAATCGTCCACTGAATAAAGAAAAAATTAACTTTATAGAAACAGGCAGGAAGTAAGTGCATTATAAACTGCTCTAGTAAGGTGCTCTTTATTCTCTTAATGTTAATAACTATATTTTATATTTTTCTAATTACTTATACTAATTTAGAGTCATAATTATGTGATGCATATTATATTACATTAATTTTTTGTTGCTATTTGGTTATATATTATAATAATAAGTATGTAGAAGTAGATTATATATATTTTTGTTTTGTGCGTTTGACATCTTATATTTAAATATACGTTAATAGTAATGCTATACGATTATGTATTTTTTACATTACTTGTTGTAAAAAATAGCAAAATATGCCACAAAAGAATTTCTTTTCTTTCAACATCTACGGGTGTATATCTATTTGGACGAGGATACGAAATATAATTATAAGAACAAACGACTTACCTGTAGGAAGTTCGTTCTGGATTATATGAGTATCCTCGTCCAAATAGATAGGTCCCGACCCCACTGATACTAGCCCTCCCAAGAAATTCTTTTTTGATTTAAAAGCAAAATAATGTTATGAGGAGGCTGACGGTCGGGTACGGATGACTAAGGTCTATGGCTAACAAAAAATGCATTCTTTACGTAATTGGGAATAAAATGTGCTCGATAAAGTAGGATAATGATACTACGGGTGTATATCTATTTGGACGAGGATACTCATATAATCCAGAACGAACTTCCTACAGGTAAGTCGTTTGTTCTTATAATTATATCGCCAAATATTATTTACTAGTTGAAGCCTGGCGCATCCGCCACGACATCAGGAAAAAAATACCCTTTTTTTTAAATAAACGAAAAACAAAAAATCCGACGACGACAGTTTTTAGAAGAGCGAATTAGCTATCTTTTAGTAAAAAAAGCAACTTTCTAGAGCAAATTGTTACTTCAGTAGAGACGACACAGATAAACATTAACATTTTATATATGTAGATTTAAATTTATTATTATTTTCTTTTAATTTTATAAATAAAATACAGTGTGTTGCATACAAGAAACTTTATTTTATATAAGGACATGTATGAAATACCTATAAAACATTGGAAACCGACGTTATGCCACGACCCACGATGGTTTTTGCAGTTCACAGCACAGCTTTTTAAGTTTTTAATGCCACTTTTTCACAATTATCCGGGTTTGAATAAATAAAACTTAAATTAAACTCACAAGATAGCAATAATTACTTTGAAAATGGACGCTTTAAACACTTTTCGGAATTTTTTCAATCAGACCGGTTAAGATTTTGAAAGATTTTGTAATTAAAAAAAATATTCTGACTTTGACAAGAGATATAGACAAGAGAAAATTATTTCTGATTTTGTTTGCGGTTGTTCTTAGCAACGATGAAATGATGTGAACCCTCCATGTCTCTCTGTCAATGGCCTATCAGAACCTGCCCATGGCTTCGTCCGTCAATCTCACCAGCTTTAGATACCATTCAGTTCAATATCCTGTTAGTAGACCTACAGCTTTGTCTGTCTTTCTGTCTTTGTTTAATAGGTCTGCCGTGAATTTTGGTGAATGTTCTATTATGAACTTTTTCGCCTGTCTCTGCCCTGGTGAATTTCTCTGTCATTCTAGAGATTTTTTGACCACCCAGACCCGTTCAGTGGCCATTCTCGTGACTTCTTTTTAACGCTGCAGAAGGGTTCTGGGCATTGATGAGCCTTGCTTGACCATTTCATCTGCCTTTTACGTTAACCGATACTGTGCCCTGGTACCCAGGCTAACCAACCATTGCTACGCTCGCCCAAAGTATTTAGACGAACCTAACCACACACAATATCACACTAGTCTAGAATCGAGCTCCGTGGAACCGAGCGCCTTTAGCGCTGCTTAGCTGTCTGTGAAAATAGCCATCGAACGATGTGTTCTTTGCATCTCAATAGTAACATAATGTAATGATTTTTAATTAGGATTACCTAAACTGAGCTTGAAAATAATTTGATACATTTACTAACAGAAAGAAAATATAAAAGATAATGCTACAGAGAGTGAATCAAGATCAAGTCCAGTTCATGAAACAAAAGAATATGAACTAAGTGCTGTTGTTTGCTACATTAACGATCAACATTCTCCAGACAAAAAGAATCTGGTCGCTCTGATTAAAGTGGCAAATGCGTTTTACAGAAATAAGGAGTTAACCGAACAGAAATGGTATTTGTTCAACGATTTTAGGTAAACTAAATAATAATTCTTCATATATTTAATGTAAATTAGTTGTGTATTTCAGTATATGTCCTGTCCCAGCACAAGAAGCCGTGTGGTTTAGTTTAGATTGGAAAGTTCCTTGTGTTTTATATTATTCTTCTTTGGAATTATCAGGTTCTAAGACAGACATATATCATCCTTTATCAAGGGTAAGTAGTCTCCTTGTTTATATATTCTTAAAGTTACTCAACCGGTAGGACAAAATGTGCTGCCAGATGTGGACAAATTGTGAAACTTTAAATGAATGAAACATGTGGTTAGGGACGGAATCAAAGACATCATTATTTTCGTTATTTTTCACAGAGTAATGTAATAATATAGCCCCGGATTTTTGCGAAGTTTAATATGGATCAGCTGATTAAGAAATGTAAACGAAACTTTTGTTTTAATGTTGATTGTGGATTATTTTTGCCCCTGTTATTTTAAGAATTCTAAACCATATTAACAAAGAAATGATTTCGATATATTGGTACATTATTTAAAATTTATGATAATGCTAATTATTGTTAATTAATATTTAATAAAAGTTACATACCTACTTTAATTTGATTTGATGCAAGGTCTATAAAAGAACCTTTTCATTCTTAGATTATTTTATTCTAAATTGAGTATTTTACGAAAATATTTTTTTTGAAAACATAATAGTTATTTACAGTACAAGTGCGCTTTATGAACATGATTACAACAACGAGTGTGAACGATTAGAAAAATACCCAAATACATACCTTCACCTACTACTCAACTACAAAATAAACGAATGTAATCTTTTATAAAAACTACTTCTTGTATTCTGCACTGAACAAATTGTCCAACTTACTAATTAATCAAACAAAAAGAAAAAATAACCAAATTCTCTTCACCTACTACTTCACTCCAAAACAAACTCTTATAAAAACACTACTGAACTACTTCTGGTATTCTACACTAAACAAATAATACAAACTTAATAAATTAATCTAATTTTACACTACAACTAAGAAGGTATAAAAAGGTATTTACAATGGTCGAACTGAATAATTACCAGACATCTAATAGACAAAAAGTATCTGGTCAATTGGTCGACCAATTGACACAGTACGAAAATTATCGATTTTTATTTTCTCTGTTTTTATTGGTCGCTTCAAAATTCAGAGTAACAAAAATATTTTTCTGTAGTAAAAGACTTTGAAATACGCCCCGCCATCTGGTGCTTTACATCCATAATCGTCTTAGTTTGATCTACTTTAAAAATACATCTACAAGGGTATTGGTAAATATATGTGTGATTATAAGATTTATTGTTATTCATTTATAGGAAGTTTTTACTGAAGACAATTGTATAGCTCGATCTGGAGGCACCAAAGGAATAACTTTTACCCCGTTGCACGAAAACGAGGTACTCAAATCGGGAGACCTCGTTGCAATGGATGCAGAATTTGTTACCCTAAATCAAGAAGAAGCCGAACTTAGAAGCGATGGCAAAATGTCGACGATTAAACCGTCTCAAATGTCTGTCGCGAGGATTACTTGCATAAGAGGGTATGTTTTTTTTATTTAAACTAGGATACAATTGAGTTTGGTATTATTAGACAGAATTTTAAAATATATAATTTTGTTTAGACAAGGACAAGGCGAAGGCACACCGTTCATCGATGACTATATATCAACTCAAGAGCAAGTGGTAGACTACTTAACCAAATTTTCGGGAATTAAACCTGGAGATTTGGACGCCAATTTTAGCTCAAAACACTTAACTACACTGAAATCTACGTACATTAAACTAAGATATTTACAAGACAGTGGAGTCGTATTTGTCGGTCATGGTTTAAAAAACGATTTTAGGTAAGTAAAAAGAAATATCTCAACTTCTTCAAGCAAACACTATAAATATGTTTTATTTAGGGTAATAAATTTGGTAGTTCCGCCTCATCAAGTCGCTGACACCGTACAACTGTTTCATTTAAAACATCACAGGATGGTCTCCTTAAGATTTTTGGCATGGCACTTTCTGGGTGAGTAGTTTATTTAAAATTTTGTTTCTATTAGCATACAGGTCATTGGTTTTTAACTCATATACTTAGAAACTACTACTACTACTACTGCCCTAACTCGCTGACGAGTATTTGACACGCATTAAAAGATGGTTACGCAGGGCGTTTTCTGTCATGAGCTTTTCTGTGACTGAAAAGCCCGATACATGATGTTATCTCTCTTCCGCACTCCGGATATTCAAAAATCTCATTACTTTGTTGCCTCTTTACTCTTTGGTTGTCGTTATTAACTGAATTTACAATTCTCCTCCATTGCGTTCTATTGTGCGCTGCTTCCTCCCACTGATGCTGCATATTTATCCCCTTTAAGTTTTCATGAACAGCATCCTTGTATCTTTTGAGTTGTCCACCCGTTTCCTCTTACCCTCTACAAGTTCACCGTAAAGAAGAGATTTCGGTAGGCGGTTTTCTTGCATCCTGCATACGTGGCCAGCCCATCTTAAGCGAGATTTAGTAATCATGACTTCAGCGCTCTCGCAGCTTGCTTTTTTAAGGACTGATACGTTTGAGACATGGTGGTACCATTTGATTCTTAAAGTTGTCTAAGGTGTCTCTGTTGCAACTTGTTTAATGCGCTCGTGTGCCGGCGGTACGGCACCCAGGTTTCGCTTCCATATAACATGGTGGGGATTATTACTGCTCGATACACTGCAAGTTTCGTTTTTGTGCTCAAGTCATGATTGTAAAAAACCCTGTCTTTTAATTTCCAGAATGCTCTTGAGCATACTTAGAAAAATTAAAACACTACATAGTTATTTTGAATCTTTTTGGGAGTTTTCGCCACTAAAAGAAAATCTACAAAATAAAAACGTAATTTTTTATAAACACCACTGGGCGCGATTTTCTAGCGACGTCCAATTTTTTCATCGAAGCACAATTTTTTCGAAGACAGCTTTAGTCCACGACAGAAAGCGTTTTTGCGTTTTGCGTTTTTTGCGTGTCAAGCGCTTTTTGCGATTTTACCGTTTGAAACTTTTATTCCGATTTGTGTCCATTAAAACACACAAAAGAAGCGGCAGATCTGCAGTTTCTATCAATATGTCAATAATTAATAACGTGGCAAGCACGTGGATCCCCGGCCCGTTCAACAGTCAATCCTGTGAGAAAGAGATAGGCGAGATCGGCGCGGTTAGCGTTGAAGAGACGAAGATAAAGATATGCTGGGATTGAATTGTGGACGGGCCGGGGCATTATATTCGGCGACAAACACAATCTACTGCTAGTGCCAGTGGTGTGTGTAAAAATAACAATTAATATTTGCCATTTTTACGAATTTCAGTTTATTTGTGTATAGTTTTCTTATGTTCTAGTTTTGTGTTTACTTGTTATAATTATAATATAATAAAATAAATAATTATATAATAGAATAGTAAATATCACTAGTTGCTAACGCAATTTTAGGATATGATTTATGAAACTTTTGGAAGTGAAACTTCTTTACGCGCGCTGGAAGTAAAAATTCAAGGCCGTGACATACGAGCTAGCGAGACGGCCCTGACACATGAGCTAGTTGTAACGAACCGTGTTAACGGTTTAGAAATACGTAGAGACGCGTCTATAAAACGTGCTATTTGTGAGCAGTCCACGTGTTTATCAAAATTTTTTATTTTACGCGAATAAAACTGTTATACGTAAAAAACTATTTTTTACGCGTATATAACTTATTGTTTCTGGTAAAAAACCTTTTTTACGCAACAAAAAAATATTTTTTACGTGTAAAAAACTATTTGTTACACGTAAAAACTAATTTTTACGCATCAAAAACATATTGTATCTGGTAAAAAACCATTTTTACGCAACAAAAACATTTTTTACGTGTAAAAAACTATTTGTTATACGTAAAAAAAATATTTTTTACGCGTCAAAAACTATTTGTTCCTGTTAAAAAACCTTTTTTACGCAAAAAAAAAATATTTTTTACTTGTAAAAAACTATTTGTTATTCATAAAACACTACTCGCTAAAGGAAAAAAAAATATTCTTTATGCATAAAAAAATTATTTTTTACACGTATAAAACTATTTGTTACCTGTAAAAAAATATTTGTTACGCTTAATGAACTATTTGTTACGCGTAAAAAACACTTTTCACGTAATTTTTACCCGTAAAAAACACTTTTCACGTAATTTTTACCCGTAAAATATTCCTTTAATTTATTAATTTTTCAAACATTTCCTTCAAATTTCTGAATTTAACAGAATCTTCCTAAACAGTAGATGTTCTCTATAAAAGTATGTTTATTTATTTTATTTATTTATTTACGGGAAACCCCATTACATTACAAAATTTACAAAACAATATTAAAAAAAAGAAAAAAAAATGTCTTTTCTTTTTCTTTCACATCGTATAAAGATACTTAAAAACATTAAAAAATAATACAAAAAAAAACAATAAACACTTATTAGAGAAGAACGGTACAGTAAAAAGAAGAATTAACCCACCCATCAATCACCACTTCCATTTCTAATCTTCCTCCTAAATGCCCAGTAAGAGTCATTAAAAATGTCAACATCATGAAATTTGTTCAGAGAATTAAGTACCCTTGGAATTGGAGAGTGCTTTCCATAATTAGTGCCACGCAAAGGAATAAAGAACAAATCATTAATTCTCAATGGCCTAAATGGAACTTTGAAATAAATTTGTCTAAGTATCTCAGGACAGTCATATACGCCAGTAACAATCTTATAAAAAAAAGAAATTAGATTAATCTCCTTTTGTCCAGAGTCTCTAAATTTAATTGGTCTAAGTTGATAATGTAACTATATTCTTGATTGTGTCTGAAAGCACAATACCGTAAAACTTCTTTTGAACCCTTTCTATTGTTTTCTTAGATACATCGTATTGAGGATTTCATATAACAAATGCATATTCTAAAATTGATCTTACCAATGAGCAATATACTATCTGCAAAGCCCATACCGACAAGTCTTTACAGTTTCTCAATACAAAACCCAGTGTTTTTAAAGCTTTATTAGCAATTATATTAATGTGTTCATTAAAAGAAAGAGAACAATCAAAGCTTATACCCAAGTCATTGACCAAATCCACCCGTGTCAAACGAACATGATTCAAATCATAATCAAAGAGAATCCCTGGTGATCTTTTTTTGGAAAAACTTATAACTGAACATTTACTAGCGTTTAGGGAAAGGCTGTTCACCTTACACCAGTCAACTTTTCTATCTAAATCTCTCTGTAAAAGTTTGCAATCATTAACATTAGAAACAGTTCTATACATTTTCATATCGTCGGCAAACAACAAGCAGGAGGAATTACCAACACTCGACACAACACAGGAGGACAACATGATTAACTCTGTCAAACGCCTTAGAGAAATCCGTATAGACTGCGTCCACCTGGTTTCCATTCTCCAAGGCGTGTAACAGAACCGTCTGATATGAGACCAAGTTTGTAACAGTCGACTTACCATGGGAAAATCCATGCTGGCAGTCTGTTAATATGCCCTTACATTGCCATAGCAAATCCTCGTAAACTAGCTTATCTAGAAGTTTTGGAATTGCCGACTGATTACATATGCCTCTATAGTTTTTAATATCAGACTTATTGCCACTTAAAAGTCGGGATCAAAAAACTAGACTTCCAGGGCCTAGGAAAAGTCTTAAAGGCATATTAAATATTATGTGTAATGGGTTAGATATACTATATACAATTCTTCAGAAACACATTCGGTATGCCGTCAGGGCCTGGATTAACTTTAGCTGGAAGGCCCGAAACTACAGAAAATATTGCACTCTTGGATATCTGTTTACATTAATAGTTTTCATAAAGTCGGGCATGCAAGAGGGTACAACTAAATTACTCTCGTAGTACACAGATGAGAAGGGATCCGCAAATAAATTTGAAATATTCTTACCATTATCAGCCTTAATGTCATTGAAAAACATTGTACTAGGCAAATCAAGCATATGATTTTCTGTTATTATTCACAAAGCTCCAAAATTTTTTGGGGTCCTGTGCTATATTAGACTCCGTTTCTCTGATGTACCTAGAGTAGCAATCCCGCTTCAACGCCCTGCACCTTTCTCTCAAGCAGACAAATTCCAGATAAGCATCCCTGCTCCCCGTTCGCCGATACAGCCTATGTTTAACCTTCTTCTCTCTAATACATTTTTTCAGATCATGGCTAAACCATCTCGGAAAATTTGAATTCACTGAGCATTTAAGAGGAACAAACAAAGATATTGCTTTAAATAGAATTTCATAAAAGTGAAACTGCCCCATCAACATCCCTCTGATCAAGAAACACGTTCCAGTTAATAGGCGCCAAAAAATTATTAAGACCAGCATAATCAGCGTGCGAAAAATCGTAATAGAATTCTTTATATTGTAAGACACTTGAGTTTAGTTTCAAAGGAATTTCAAAATAATACGCCTGATGATGCTGGCTAGTGGGCAATAGGTAATCAATTGCCTCCATCACAATTAAACTTGGCATATGACTAAATACCAAATCCAAGTATACATTTCGAAGGTTTGGAACAAAATTAATTTGAAATATATTCATAAAAGTAAAACTTTCACAAACCAGTTGAGCTTTGGAACCGTTAGGGCACTGCACTGACACTCCACGATCGTCGTTTGACCTAATCGTCGTTTAGATAATAAGTACCCTAAAATGAAACAAAAATGCATACTATTTATTTTATTGTTATTGTATTATTAAATATTACGTCCGCCTGTGACGGGTTCTCATCTTAAAAATCACTAAAGACGCTACAGAAAACAAATTGAGTTGTTTTCATTTGCGTTTTTTGCGAGACAGACAGAACGCTAGACGCTCTTGGTCGGGCCACTCCTATATAATCCTGTTATTTTGTTTTAGTCGCAAAAGACGCTTCACGATAAAAACTCTTTCTGTGTGGCCGTGGGCTTAGATTTTCAATTTATTTTTTATTCCTTTTCAATTGTAGGCATAAAAATTCAATCAGAAACTCACGACTCCATCGAAGACGCGAGGGCAGCTCTCCAACTCTACAAGAAATACAAAGAATTACAGGAGAACAACAAGGTCGGCGACGCGCTAGCCGAACTGTACGAAATCGGCGAGCAGCTTAAATGGAAGGTTCCGGAAAATTAGTGGATCAAAGAGTAAAGTACAAACGACAAAATATACGTATTGAAATATATGTAAACCTGTTTATTTTTATAAATTATTTCTTGATTTTTAACTTATGTTTTATACAATTCAGTCAGTATCGTTCGCCAAAAATGTGTTATGTACTATTGTCATACGTCTCTGTTTAATGTCTGTGATTTTTTATAGTATTTATGATATTTAAAAAATTAAATGTTTATATCTCTGTTTGGTAATATTTTTTTTATCTGGTAGGTTTCATTCTGAACCTCGCAATTAGTAGAATAAATTAGTGGTTTCAGTTAAGATTTATTCAAAACATCACAATTAGTGGAATAAATTAGTGGTTTCAATTACACTTTATACTTTTTAGTTTACGGTAATTCACAATGTCACGATCAAACACAATTAAAATTAATAGAATATTCTAGCAACAGCTTGCGGTAGTCAGTTGTATCTATAGAGAAAGCCTAATATTTAGTTTATTAGACAATAAACTTTTGATTTCTAACCACAATTTCTCTTGAGGGATGACAATCAAAGGCCAAAATGACATTCCTTGCATAGTGTAAATAATATGGTGTGCTCACGCGCATGCAGCCGGCACGCTGTGACGTCAGCAACGAGTATTTTTGTCGGTGAATTTTATTTAAAAACAATCCGAACCAAAGTCTTGAGAACTAAACTCTGTATACCAAATTTCAAGTCGATAGATCAACTTCAAAAGTTATCGCGTAAACTAACAGACAGACACAATTTTTTTGCGAAATTGGTTTATTTTTACGTTTTAAGACATTTTAAGTCGATTTAAGGGAAAAAAAAATTGATTTTATTTTGCCGATACTATACTTCCCATCCTGAAAGAATGCGGAAGTAATAAAAAATATCAGTTTTAATAAATATTTAATGCTAATTTGTAAAATAATTACGAGAATATGAAGAAACAAACACTTAATTACACAAAATTCCTAGCGATTCTATAAAAAAAAAAACATCTAAATACGCGACTAATATAACCGACGCACGGTGGGGCCGATTGAAGAATCGTTGGCCAAAACCTTCAAAGATATATGAATCAACCAAAAATATATAGAATTTAACAGTTTTTGCTTAATTGAATTTCTAGGTAGTCAATCTTCAAAATTTTAGTTAATTAAATTATAGTTCACGTATATACCCAGCATATTAGCTCATCAATATAATGTGAGAAAAAATACCCGGATGACAAAACTTTTATACATTTGCCTTGCAAGCCATTTCGAATATTGTTGTCTTGTGGGATGTCTGTGTGTCTGTCTGTCTGTTTATCGGTCTATTTGATATATTTTTTTATCCGTACGTAACCAACAACTTTGATAAAAAAATAAATATTGTTTTTGGATTCTAGTTTTGAAGAAGTAAAAAAATAATTATTTTCAATCGTGGTCTCACATGTCTCAAAATGAGTAGTCGGCACGTAATCAAGAAAGTATGGGCTAGATTTTTCGAGTACCTATTACAGGCAAGCATCTAAAAATTAATTTCGGATGATGAGGGGTTCCAAAAATTTTTAATAACCATTTCGGGGGAAGGGTGGTTTTGGGGTGCCGGAATTTTTTTCTCCTTCTATTTTTGGATTGGAGCAACTAAAAGGTTTTAAATTTAGCGTAATGTAATGTGTTTAAAAATAATTTGTTTAAATGCTTAAATTTTTAAAATCGGTTCATTATTTTAGTACATATCATAATTTGAATTTACGTGCGGATATTTTAATAAGTTAAGCCGCCATCTTGAAATTTTAAACTGTCATATTTAGACTAAAACGTAATATTTTTAAACATATTGTCTTACTTCAAATCTCCATGTTGTTCCATTAAAAAGATAAAAAAGGAGTGGGGACATTGTATATTATCTAAGCCTCGATCTAAGCATTAATTCGGTTAAAACCCACAAAATTTGTAGATTTGAGGTGGGGTGGGACTGAAGGGTCTAGGACTCTTGGACCCCCTAACTATGTGCTTGATTACAGGCGATTCATGAGTATCAGATTTTATTAAAATCACACGAACTTAATCTAAATACATCATAAAGACCTATAGTATCTATTACTCAAAGTACAAGGGACATGCTTTACATTTAAAAATATTTTTTTTAAAATTGCGCAAAGTTACGCAAGATGGTAACAAATACATGAAGGGTAATGTCCAATCTTTCAAAAAACATCAGCCAATAAATTGGGCATCTTTGGGCACTCAACAAAACTCAAGGTTAAATAGCGTATTTTATTTTTTATATTATACTAATTTATTAATTAATTTAGTATGCATCAGTGAAAAAGTTTTTTTTTCAAAATATAGCTAGAAATAGTCAAGTAGTATTGTACTTTTATAAAAAATGCAAAAAATTAATTGTATTTAAAAATTAACCAAGAAATTTTACTTATTATTCGGGTCCTACAAATTGCAATTATACACGGTAGAACTAAACCTTCGAAATTACTGCCCTTCAATGGTTACAGATCTGCATCCAAAATTTTTTTCTGTGTATAATATAATATTTCGGTCTTTTCTGTATTCTATGGTCATCAAAACTTTTTGAAAAAGCAACTTCTGTTTTATAAGGTTCTGGCCGCAAAAATGGCAATCGGCCCCACTGTGCGACGTCTATCTCAGCGCGAAAAATCTCCGTTGCTGACGCAATGCGCAGAGCGATCGCAAATTCATTTATTATTCGCACCACGATTCCTTGCAACTTTTGAAGTATAATTAGTGGAAAAGTTAAAAGTTTGTTAAATGTTTCCACTAATTGCAGATTACTACCACTAATTTTTTGACGTTCTGAATGTAATTCAGAACGTCAAAATTCTTTACATACAAATTAAAGGAACAACCTTTTACGCTAATTGAAACCACTAATTTACGAGTATTCCACTAATTGCGAGGTTGTGAATGAAGCTGTAGTCTTTATTTAACACAAGTATAGTAAAATCTATGTTGGCAATTTATTCGTTTGACATTTTTTTTTCATAATAATATATAGGGTGTGTTAAAATGATTCGCAACAAATGGGATTAATTTTTATCACCTTGAAAAAAGAAATAGCGGCAAATAGCAAAAATCCTCAGAACATATATGCAGAAGGCGGGTTAGTTAAAAATATTTGTAGGAAATACTAAAATTTAAACAAACAAACAAACAACGCTTTATTGTACAAAAAGCCAAAACAGCTTCATCGACAAAGCACTCACAAACAACAAAATCACAAAAAAATACTAACAACAAAAAATACACAATACAAATAATACAATTCAAAAAAATGTAAGTCTTTAAAATTACAAAAAGAATATACATGGACAATTTTAGAACAGTATGCAGTAAATAGATATAATTTTAGAGTTATAAAATATTAAATACTTGACCTTTGACCAGTGTGTGAGATGATCAAAATTTTAAAATTCAAAATTGTTCATAATTAAACATCAACAAAAAAGTCGTTTACCGCATATGGGGTCTCTCCAGTAGGTATGATTTTAGAGCTTTGCGAAATGCGGAAAAGAATGAAAGCGACTTGATATTAAAAGGCAGATGATTGTACATTTTTTTGGCATTGTACAGTATTGAACCTTTAACTAGTTCTGAGCTCGGGGTTGGCAGATAAAGATCGTGCTCTGCATTCCTAAGTGGATAGTTATGAGATGGCCTTTCGGGAATAGCAGATATGTGCTTGCGGATTAAGCAAACGGATTCAAAAATGAATAAAGAACGAAGAGTCAGTATTTTCAAATTTTTAAAAAAAATCTGGCAGTGAGTTCTACTGTTCAGTCCCAATAAATATCGAACTGCTCTCTTTTGAAGTCTGAAAACACGATCAAATTTTGTTGCCCAGCAAGTACCCCAGAATGGAAGGGCATACCGAAGATGTGACTCAAAAAGGGCATAATAGGCTATTCTAGAGGTTGAGAAGTTAAGTTCCTTAGAAACTGATCTTAGCGCAAAATAGGCAGCCCTTAGTTTCTTTGATAGAGCTTCAATGTGAAAGTCCCATTTTAACGAGTTGTCTACAACAAGTCCTAAGAATTTCACAGGGTCCACGACGTCAATAGTGGTGTTATTAAGTGCAAAAGGTTGTATAGTACTTTTATATGACAAAACTTTAGTTTTTGATAGTTATAAGATATAATTTATAAATATACAGGATCATAAATATTAAGGTCTAACGATAGTGCTGTCCGCCGAACCCAATCATTGTTTTTCTGAAACCACTCCTGAACACAGCGAGATGAATGTTTTACTATGTGTCCCTGCCCACCAATCGAGTCATAGTGGCGTTTTTTATTATTGAGATTTTTTAGTGAAATGATAAATAATAAAATGTAAATTATTAAATTTTAAATAAACTGATCTGATTTCGCTAATGCTAATATCGATGCATCGGAACATTTAAACGCAAATATCTTGAAAACCGTTCACAGTTTCGAACTCTAAGAGCACTTTTTTTACATAAAAGAGTCCCAGCTTTAATTTTCATTTATTAAAATTACTATATCCATAAGGATAAAAGAAGTACCACCAGTAGTACTATCTATCATAGTGGAAAGTACCCTTTTAGGGGTGTTATACAATGTTACACTATCGCCATTCGCTTTGGCATTAAAATCTGTTTAAAATTTCAAGAAAAACGGTTTACCAATGTTTTTAAAAATAAACAAAATATATTATTTTAATTTAATCTTTCGAGGGCAGTCATTTCTTCGGGAAGCATTTTGGGGCATATGTTTTAGGAAGTTTTTGTTTTATTTTTATCTGTAGAATCACCCACCGAAGTTAGGTACGCTTATTTTTTGACACCCTGTATAGAAATACCCATATAGAGAAATTCCGCCATAAACTTTCTTTAAATAACTCAATAATAAAAATATTAGCCATTTGTTGCGTTTTGTTCTGGCACACCCTGTAGATGACGATAGAAAATGCAAAGCAATGCATATTCTGAGTTAAATATTTTTGATTTAAAATGATCAAACTATTTAATTTTAATTAGTAGGTTACTACTCAGTAAAATACTAAAAAATGTAAACTGCTTATCAACTTTGCCATAAAATCTGAGCAGTTTTTTAAGATGTGTTTTTGACGCAATCGTTATTTTACTCTGTTTTATTATCAAATAATAGAGATCTAAAATATAGTCGAAAATACAAGTTACTGACTTATTTGAAGCATCATTTTCTTTATATCATGATTTTTTTATTGTAAATGAATTTTGA